TTCTCACCATCATCTACCTGGCTTTAAAGAGTTGCATGCTGGGGCCGACGCTGCGGCATAGAGGGCTAAGCCTCCTCCTGCAATGCCGGCACATCCATGTTGTTACAGAAACCTGAGCTGGGAAAACTCACTTGGTTCAAACGGGCACCAGAGACAGTGGAGGATCGAGAGCAGTTCATTTACTCCTGCGGGCACAGTGGGAATTATTTCCTGAGACTGAGCCCTAAGCCTAGGTTTCTTACATATTTAGTTTCATCGGCAACACACTTTAGCTGTTATAGCATTGGCGGGTTTAAATTGCAGCCTATGTGACTAAGGACCACACTTCCAATGGCCGGTGGGTCCAGTACTTTATAAAAGAGATACCTGGGGCAGATTTATGACTGGAGTTACAGAAAGCAGAGCTTAGGCCATCTTCCCTCCCTAGACAAGAAAACCACGCACCGCTAATTCACCAGATCTTTGGGGGCAGCTTCCAGGGTTAGTGCCGGGGTCCGCTTTCCTTCCTCCGTCTCTAGTTGTGGCCTTATTTCCTCTACAATGTTCAAGTCCCAGCTGTTCTGCCTCCCATCCTGCTCCCTGCTAATGGGAAAGCAGTAGAAGATGACCCAAGTGTTTGGGCCCCGTTACCTATTCGGGTAATCCAGATGAAGTTCCTGGCTCCTGGTTTCAGGAGCCTGGCTGTTGTAATCATTTGGGGAGTGAACCAGCAGATGGAAGATCTCTCTCTCTCTCTCTCTCTCTCTCTCTTTCTGTCTGTCTTTCCTCTTCTCTCTCTGTATCTCTGCCTTTCAAATAAATAAATAAATCTTAAAAAAAAAGGAGGGCGGCCGCTGCTGTGACATAGCGGGTAAAGCTGCCATTTGCAGTGCTGGCATCCCACATGGGCACTGGTTTGAGTCCTGGTTGCTCCACTTGAATCCAGCTCTCTGCTATGGCCTGAGAAAGCAGCAGAAGATGGCCCAAGTCCTTGGGCCCCTGCACCCATGTGGGAGACCCGGAGGAAGCTCCTGGCTCCTGGCTTCGGATCAGCCCAGCTCCAATCATTGCAGCCATCTGGGGTATGAATCGGTAGATGAAAGACTTCTCTCTCTCTGCCACTGCCTCTCTGTAACTCTGCCTTTCAAATAAAATAAATAAATCTTTAAAAAAAATTTTCATGTAAATCAAATTTGAAACCTTGGACAAATGTCAATGACTACTTTCTCTCTCTCTCTCTCTCTCTCTATATATATATATATATATTTATACACACATTTTTGCTCAGAAATATTGATCTTGCTGTGTAATTGAGATAGAAATATTTATTTTATTTATTTTTAATTAATTAATTTGAGAGGTAGAGCTAAAGATCTTCCATCCACTGGTTCACTCCGCAGATGGCCACAATGGCTGGAACTGTGCCGATCCAAAGCCAGGAGCCACGAGCCAGGAGCTTCTTCCACCTCTCCCATGTGAGTGCAGGATCTCAAGTACTTGGGCCATCTTCTACTGCTTTCCCAGGCCACAGCAGGGAGCTGGATCGGAAGAGGAGCAGCCGGGACATGAACTGGCACCCATATGGGACGCCGGCACCACAAGTGGCAGCTTATCCACTACACCATAGCACTGGCCCCTCTTTTATTTATTTATTTTTAAAGATTTATTTATTTATTTGAAAGGCAGAGTTACAGAGAGACAGAAGAAGAGACCTTCCATCCCTTGGTTCACTCCCCAGATAGACACAATAGCTGGGTCAGGACAGACCGAAGCCGGGAGTCAGAAGCTTCTTACAGGTCACCCAGGTGGGTATAGGAGCTCAAACACTTGGGCCATCCTCAGCTGCCTTTCCCAGGTGCATTAGCAGGGAGCTGGATTGAAAGTGGAGCAGCCAGGACGCAAACCAGCAGGCAGCAGCTTTACCTGCTATGCCACAGTGCCAGCCCCAGAAATATTTCTTATTTATACATTGTATTGGGAGAACAAACAATATCTATTACAGCAACACTTTATGGAACTTATTTTTTAAGTAAGAATATTTAGTATTTTATATTCACGTAATCAAAGAATGTGCATGCGTATTTTTATGAAAGATAATTCTTTGTATGTGTGGGTTTTTTAACATTTCCGTACCACATATTAAACATATGCTTTTAAGATTATTGAATTTAGACAATTGTAAACACCATTTCCTAGCTGATATAACCCAATACTTGCCATTTTTACTATTCTGCTTTTTTAAAGCAATTTAAAACCAAGTTTAAAATTAAGTAAATTTATTTTTAAAAAAGACAGAAAGGAATTAAGTCAGTAAAATGCTAAGAAATTTGAGGCTGCTGAATATTTTTTGTTTTTAAAAAGATTTATTTATTTATTTGAAAGAGTTATGGGGGGAGGGGTCTTCCATCCACTGGTTCACTCCCCAAATGACTGCAACAGCCAGAGCTTGGCAGATCTGAAGACAGGAGCCTGAAGCTTCTTTGGGGCCCAAGGACGTGGGCCATATTCTGCTGCTTTCCCAGGCCATTAGCAGGGAGCGGAATTGGAAGTGGAGCAGCTGGGACTTGAACCAGTGGCCACATCAAATATCAGCACTGCAGGTGGCAACCTTAACTGCTGCACCACAGCCCCGGCCTCTGCTCACTATTTGTATTCCCACAATCCCCAATATTTATCTTGATGTATATATGGTTATTTCCACAGAGCTGGTATTACTTCATTTTCAATAAACAGGAGCCCAAAATTTTTGAATGTAGAAATGCTTGAACTATTTTTTAAAAGATTTGTTTATTTGAAGTCAGAGTTACACAGAGAGAGAGAGAGAGAGAGAGAGAGAGAGAGAGAGGTCTTTCACCGCTGGTTCACTCCCCACTTGGTCACAACGGCCAGGGCTGCGCCGATCTGAAGCCAGGAGACAGGTGCTTCTTCCAGTTCTCCCATGTGGGTGCAGGGGCCCAAGGATTTGGGGCATTTTCTACTGCTTTCCCAGGCCATAGCAGAGAGCTGGATGAGAAGCGGAGTGACCAGGACTCGAAATAGCTGCAGGCTGCGGCTTTACCGGCTATGCCACAGCACTGTCCCCTGAACTATTTTTTTTTTAATTTGACAGATAGAATTAGACAGTGAGAGAGAGAGAGACAGAGAGAAAGGTCTTCCTTCCGTTGGTTCACTCCCCAAATGGCCGCCACGCCGGCACTGCGCCGGTATGAAGCCAGGAGCCAGGTGCTTCTTCCTGGTCTCCCATGTGGGTGCTGGCCCCAAGCACCTGGGCCATCCTCCACTGCCTTCCTGGGCCACAGCAGAGAGCTGGACTGGAAAAGGAGCAACCAGGACTAGAACCCGGTGCCCATATGGGATTCTGGTGCCGCAGGTGGAGGATTAACGAAGTGAGCCACAGTGCTGGCCCCTGAACTATGTTTTTAATCTCAAAAATTTAGTTATCAAAGTGCAAAAGGTATTTTGATATTCTATCTGTACAGTAAACCTTATAATGTATATATTTTTGAAACGTGTCTAGATAGACATACAGAAAACTAATAATGCTGGTTAAGTTAGGGGAGGGGTCATGGGTTGGGGGACTGTAGTTCACTATAAGGAAGAGGCACTTTTACACTATATGCTTTACATTGTCTACAAGAATGTGATTGTACTTGTGCAAATAAATCAAATACTCGGCCAGCGCCGCAGCTCAATAGGCTAATCCTCCACCTAGCAGCGCCGGCACACCGGATTCTGTCCCGGTTGCTCCCCTCCCAGGCCAGCTCTCTGCTATGGCCCAGGAGTGCAGTGGAGGATGGCCCAAGTGCTTGGGCCCTGCACCCCATGGGAGACCAGGAGAAGCACCTGGCTCCTGCCATCGGATCAGCGCGGTGCGCCAGCTGCAGCGCGCTGGCCGCGGCGGCCATTGGAGGGTGAACCAACAGCAAAAGGAAGACCTTTCTCTCTGTCTCTCTCTCTCTCTCACTGTCCACTCTGCCTGTCAAAAAAAAAAAAAATCAAATACTCACAAGATTACTGTGATTTTAAAATAATTAAATAGAAGGCTAGTGCTGTGGCCAGCCAGCTCCCTGCTAATGCACCTGGGAAGGCAGCAGAGGATGGCCCAAGTCCTTGGATCCCTGCACCCACATCGGAGACTGGAAGAAGCTCCTGGGTTCAGCCTGACCCAGCTCAGGAGGCCATCGTGGCCATTTGGGGAGTTGAACCAGCTGATGGAAGACTCTCCTCTCTCTCTCTCTCTGAACTCTCTCAAATAAATAAAACAAATATTTTTAAAAATTAAATAAAAATCCAACAATACCCAGTTCCAAATAAAAATCATGCTGGTTTTTTATTTTTGTTTTTGTTTGCTTTTTAAAGAGGTTCTTCATCTGCAGAGGCATGGTCTGAGAGGCAGAGGAGCCTCGGGGAGGAAGCGGGAAGAAGCGTGCTCGCTCTGGACAGGTGCTGGGCCTGGTGCTCATACGTGCCTGCATCCCCTCTCAGAGTGCCTGGGCTCCACGCCGGGCTCTGGCCTCTGACTCCTGCTTCCTGATAGCGCTCACCCTGGGAGGCAGCGGTCCTGGCTCTAGTAGTTGGGTGCCTGAGACCTATGTGGGAGACCTGAATTGAGTTTGAGTTTCTGCAGGCATTTGGGGAGTGGGCCAGTAGATGGGAGAAATCTCTCTCTCTCTCTCTCTCTCCCTCTCTCTCTCTCCCTGTCTCTCTCTCTCTCTCTCTCTCTCTCTCTCTTTCTCTCTCTGCATCCAGTCTACAGTCTACTCCCCAGTTAGGCGCTTTCCGGATCTTGCCGTCGTGCAGGTCCCTGTGAGAGCTGAGCCCAGCCCTCCAACTCCACATCTGGAAAGCAAATCTGCCACTCACTGGCGCCCGACTCATTCATTTCTTTTTGCATGGATTCATTACAAACAGCTTACGCACTCATGCAGTGGTTCACTCAGCAGTTCTTTATCCACCCGATGCACTTCCCCGGCCCAGCGCTCGTGGGAGGCTGACCAGTGAGGACGGATCCCTGGCTCCTGGCTCTAAGCCACTGCCTGCAGTTTTTGCACACCAATTAAGATTTCTGAGTAGACGCTTTGTAATTGGGTCTTTGGGACCTCATCCCCAAAGCACCCCAAAGTTCCTAAGACGGGCACTTTTCCTCTCCCTCTAAATTGCCTTGGGGGTTGTGCAGTCCCCTGCCGAGGGAGCTTTGCGAGGTGCTGCCTCCCCCAGAGGCTGTCGGCCAGGACAGAGCTGCAGGCTGCCCATGGTACAATACTGCTCCCTCTCTTCAGCCTTGAGCCCTCCAGAATCCTACTGCTGCCAAACCTGACGCGACTCAGGGCACGCCACGGCTGCTGGGCGCTTTGTACATCTGCCGAACCCAAAATGCTCCACCGCTTACTCTGAAGCTTTTCGCTGGATTCTACGAGAGGCCCGGCATGTTTCCACGGTCGGGAAAGCTGCAACCTTGCGTGCTGCCCACCGGGTCCCCTGCTCCCAGGAGGCCCGGCTGCTTCCTTGACCTGTGTGCCCTGCGTTCCAGCCAGAGGTCGTGTCCACGGGAACATGTGCCAGGCGGCCAGAGACATGGATCCCGAAGAGCCTGAAGGTCAGTGTGAAACGGGAGTAGAGACATGGGAAGGAGTCGGTCACCGAGCAGTCACGGGGCCCATGGCTTCCGCTCGTAACTCACAAGGCGCCACTGAGCAAGTACTGTTTCCTCTCTGAGCCTTAGGTTGCCCGTGCCTAAGACGGAGGTGGTCTAGCTGCTCTGGGGTCTCTCCCAGCTCTGCCAGGGTCTTCTAGGCTGCCGAGAGCTCACGGGGCGGGGCGGGGGGTGGGCAGCCAGCTGCTCCTGAGCCCCAGAAAGTTCCGGGGGAAATCGGCTGTGGCCAGGCTGGGAGCCTCAACGTGGGCTTCAGCAGCCGGGAGAGGAGGGAAAGGAGGTGAAAGCCCCGTGAGCTGGCAGGGGTAGGCGACAGGCAGGGAGTGAAAGGCTGAGCAGCATCCCCGGGGGTCCGTGGCCAGCGCCAGCTACCTTGAAGCACTAAGGAAAAGTTGACTTTTGCTGCTTGGCTGGCGAGAGGGCTGTGGGGAGGACAGGGGAGAGAGACGTCTGCGCAGTGCGTCAGAACCACCGACATACATGGTCTGCCCAAAGCAACCATGGCTGTGAGCGTGGCGTAGGTGTCGGGCTGCTGGGAAGGCCCGATTCAAGACTTGCCTCACCAGAGACCCACAGTGGGACCTGTTCCCCTCCTGCACGATGGGAGGGCCCATGAATCGGCCTCTCCAGGCACTTTCCAGGCCAACGCCCTGCAAGTTCAAGTCCGCGTAGCCCTGGCTGTGGCCCCGACAAAATAGGGACAAAGGGGCCCATGGAATTTTCCCTAGAAAACCCACAGGAAGGCGGAGTCTGCAGGTTCAATCCGCACTGATGAGCAGATGAAGCAGCCTCTGGCGGGAGTGGGGGCGGGATCAGGTGAACACATCTAGTGGCAGGCAAGCAGGCATGAGCACGTGGCTTTGTGCGTGGAGACCAGAGCTGGCCTGGAGAGGCAGACTTCTGCAGGACGCAAGATAAAGAAGGGCAGTCCAGACAGTGGGAACAGCGTAGACGGTGGCTCAGGGGCTTATTCAAGCCAGGAGAACCCTCAGAGACCGCCTAGCCTAGTGGTTCTCCAAGTGGGTACCCAGTAAGAAGCTCTGGGAACAAGGCCCAACCCAGTGTGTGTGTGTGTGTGTGTGTGTGTGTTAAAGATGTATTTGTTTGAAAGGCAGAGTTACAGAGAGAAGGAGACACAAAGAAAGGGATCTTCCATTCCTTGGTTCACCCCCCACACAGCTGCAACCATTGGGGCTGGAGCAGGCCAAAGCCAGTTGCCAGGAGCTCTAGCGTGGTCTCCCATGTGGGTGGCAGGGACCCAAGCCCAAGCACTTGGGCCAACTTCTGCTGCTCTCCCAGGCGCATTAGCAGGGAGCTGGATCAGAAGTGGAGCAATCGGGACTCCAGCTGGCGCTCTGACTCAGGACGCCAGCCTCGTAGGCAGTGGCTTAACCCCCGGCCCTACCATCTGTGTTTGAGGCAACTTTCCAGGTGATTCTGGTGCATGTGAAAATTTGAGAACCTCCTAGCCAGCCCTCTGTTTCCCAAGCTATGTCCCTAGCACGCTTGCCTGCTTCTGAGGCTCATGGGTGTTCTGTGGAGGAGGAACCTGTGCCCAGATGGGGAGCACAGGCTGCACACTGTTTGGGGGAGTCACAAATCATGTCGGCATAATAAAGGCTCCAAGAAGTCCTGCAAGGAGGAGCGTTCTCAACCATCCACTATCGCCTCCAGGCTGCCGGCTAACGTGCCCATCGCTGCTCTCTTAGGTAAGGCTGCGGATCTAAATCAACGCTCACTGCCCGGGTGGAGAAACTGAGGCCTATGAGGGTGAGGGCACTGCCCAAAGTCACAGAGAGAGTGCGCCCGAACCAGAAGAGACCCCAGCAGCCCACCTGTCTCCAGAAACATCCCTGTGAGCTTCGCCCCCAGGCCTGCACCCCCTCTCCCTCCACCCCAGAACCCACAGCATGGAGCCGGCCAACAGGACAGAGGTCTCCGAGTTCTATCTGAAAGGATTTTCTGGCTACCCAGCCCTGGAGCAGCTGCTCTTCGCTCTGTGCTCAGCCATGTACCTGGTGACCCTGCTGGGGAACGCAGCCATGGTGGTGCTGAGCCTGCTGGACGCCCGCCTGCACACGCCCATGTACTTCTTCCTGGGCCACCTCTCCCTCCTGGACATCTGCTACACGTCCACCTTCGTGCCCCTGATGCTGGTCCACCTCCTGTCCCCCCGCAAGACCATCTCCTTCACTGGCTGTGCCATCCAGATGTGCCTGAGCCTGTCTACGGGCTCCACCGAGTGCCTGCTGCTGGCCATCATGGCCTACGACCGCTACCTGGCCATCTGCCGGCCCCTCCGCTACCCTGCGCTCATGAGCCGCAGGCTCTGCTCGCTGCTGGCCGGAGCCGCCTGGGCCCTCTGTTTGCTCAAGTCGGCGTCCGAGACCGTCCTAGCTATGAGGCTGCCCTTCTGTGGCCACCGCGTGGTCAGCCACTTCACCTGCGAGATCCTGGCGGTGCTGAAGCTGGCCTGCGGGGACACGTCGGCCAGCGAGGCCTTCCTGCTGGTGGGTGCCGTCCTGCTGCTGCCGGTGCCCCTGGCTCTCATCTGCCTGTCCTACACGCTGATCCTGGCCACCATCCTGAGGGCGCCCTCGGCCGCCGGCCGCCGCAAAGCCTTCTCCACCTGCTCGGCGCACCTGGCCGTGGTGCTGCTTTTCTACGGCACCGTCATCTTCATGTACATGAAGCCCCAGAGCAAGGAGGCCCGCATCTCCGACGAGGTCTTCACGGTGCTCTACGCCGTGGTCACGCCCATGCTCAACCCCATCATCTACAGCCTGAGGAACAAGGAGGTGAGGGAGGCCGCCCGGAAGGTGTGGGGCCAGAGACGGGCCTGCCGGTGAGCCTCACAGGCAGGTCGGCTTTCCCTGCCCCAAGAAGGCAGCACCAAGGCCTCCAGACCTCGCCTCCCACCGCGGTCGCCTGGCCATGCTCAGGACACTGGGGCTTCCCCTTGCCCTGTGCTGCCCAGCCCCAAGCTCTCTCTGAAGTCTCTCCACGAGGCAGCACCTCCGCACACACAATTCCATGAGTGAGGGACCACTCAATTCAAATGCCTCTCCCACCAGGAAGCCCTCCCTACTTTGCTCCTCTCTCCGTGCCCTGCTGTGTCCTTGGTTGCAGTGTTACCCTAAAAGCAGGAAGTGTCAGATCCCACTCCCACCCAAGGCCCAGCTGTGCCTAACCCCACACCCTGCACAAGTCTCATACACGCACGAGCAAAGGAGCATGTTGGTGCAGGGGTTGTGACGCCAGAGCCTGGCCTCTTTCCCAAATCCGAGCAGAGCTTTGATGGGGTCCACAGATGGTGGGCAAGGCCTGTTCCCCAGGAGGTGACCGGGAGGCGGAGGAGAGGCCCAGCATCCTGCACGCCAGAGCTGTCTGGCCCTGCAACACCAACCACCAGCATAGCCCAGCAGTTTCCCTGCCTCCTGCCCCGTGGTCAGCCTTTGCCTGGCTCGGGGGCGGGGGGGGGGGCTCATGCCGCCCCTCCCCACTCCGAGTGCTGGGCCCCTGCGCCAGCTCCCCTTCCGGGCACTCAGCTTCTCACCAGCTCCCCTTCCTGAGCGTGCGGTGGGAATCAAGCCCAAATCAACACCATTTCCAGTCCTCGCCCTGCTCTGGCCTCAGCGGCACCCTCTGCACAAGGGGAGAGCCCAGGGGGCTGCAGGAAACCCCAGGGGAGTCCCCTAAGTTCCCCTCCCAGGCCTTCTTCCTGCTTGCTCTGTGGAGATGAGAGGAGGGAAGAGAGAGGAGGGGGGAGAAGGGAGGGGGGAGCTGCCCCACAGTGTGAGGCACCACGCTGGGTGCAGCAGGTCCTGGGGGCCACGGCCAGCTGGCGGCCAGCACAGGAGCCGGCACGTCCTTCTGTGTGCCTGGGGGGTGGGTACAGTCTGACTCGCTTTCAGCTTGGCCACTGATCCCACCGTGTTCTTCAGCTGCACACTCTGCTTTTTGCTGCCATGCCCATTGTTAGGCAAGGTGAAGTGAAGTAAGGTGTCATCGCCCCTAGCAGGGGTCAGAATCAGCTCATAGGAACTTTCTGGAAATGATGGGAATATGCATCAGGAGCCTGAATTAAAGACTTTCAGGGCCGGCTCTGTGGCTCGAAGGGTAAAGCTGCCACCTGCTGTGTGGGCATCCCCTATGGGCACCGGTTTGTGTCCTGGCTGCTCCACTTCCGATCCAGCTCCCTGCTAATGCACCTGGGAAGCAGCAGAAGATGGCCCAATTCTTGGGCCCCTGCACTCTATGGAAGACCCAGATGGAGTTCCAGGCTTCTGGCTTTGGGCTGGTCCAGTCTTGGCTGTTTCAGCCACCTGGGGAGTAAACCAGCAGATGAAAAATCTCTCTGTGTGTGTCTCCCTCTCTCTCTCTCTCTGTAACTCTACCTTTCAAATAAATAAAACTAAGAAAATAATTAGGGTGCAGTCAAAGCTTTATAATAACTATAGAACTGGTAATCGGGGTGCACATTTGACACAGCAGTTAAGATGCCATTGGGGTACCCGCAGCCCATATCAGAGCGCCTGGACTTGAGTCCTGACTCTGCTCCCCACCCTCAGCTTCCTGATAATGCACACTCTGGGAGGCAGCAGGTGATGTCAGGACTGGGGCGCCTGCCACCTGCGTGGGAGACCCAGATGAAGCTCCCGGCTCCTGGCTCCACCCTGGCCCAGCCCTGGCTGTTGCAGACATTTAGAGGTGAACCAGTCGATCTCTCTCCTCTCCTCTTCTCTCCTCTCTCTCTGTTTCTCTCCCTCTCTCTCTCTCTCTCCTCTCTCTCTGTCCCATCTACCTTTCAAATAAAATAAATTTTTTTTATTTTAATCTATTCATCACAACTTTGTTCATTGTAACAAAAAGCTGAAATAATCTTCATGACCAACCACAGAAGAATGTTTAAATCCCGGCGGAGTGCAAGGAGGGAAAGTGATGCAGCTCTATTTTTTGAAGAAAATTTGATGATGAGAAATGTCCACAATGTAACTAATAGAAAAAAGTGGGGTCTCATTTTATTTTGACCTTTCTTACAGGTATATGAGCAAGTGTGTAGGCAAGAACGTCTGGAAAACTGACAAGCCAGCTGCTTCCTCTGGGCGACAGGATTACAGATAAATATGTCCTTACTGATCCTTTTCAGTACTGGTCAGCATTTCTAAAATGCACATGACCTTGCATTTCAAAAATCATGCGATTTATTTTTAAAATATGGACGATCACCTCTCCAGGGTGGAGGGATGAGGAGGTCAGGACTGAGAGCAGGGAGTGAGGACCCAGACCCTCAGTGAGGCCTGAGCCAGGTGGCAGTGAAGGGGATGGTGGAGCTGAGAAAGATTTGGGAGATAAATAGAGATGGAGAGAGAGGTGGCGTTGCATTCCAAATTTTTTGTAGAAAAAATAATTTGTTGCTTAATCCCATTTCCCCACAAACTTTTTTAAAAGATGTATTTATTTGAAAGGCAGAGTTATAGGCAGAGAGAGATAGAGAAAGATCTTTCATCTACCGGTTCACTCCCCAAATGGCTGCAATGGCCAGGGCTGGACCAGGCCAAAGCCAGGAGCCAGGAGCTTCTTCTGGATCTCCCATGTGGGTGCAGGGGCCCAAGGACTTGGATCATCTTCCACTGCTTTCCTAGGCACATTAGCAGGGAGCTGGATCAGAAGTGGAGGAGCCGGGGGTCCAACTGGCATCCATATAGAGGCGTCGGCTTTACCCTCTACACCAAAATGCCAGCCCCTCCCACAAACTTTTGAAAGTACCTTCGTGTGTGTGTGTGTGTGTGTGTTGTGTAATAACATTTGGGAGACAGAGTTAGCAATCTGTGACTATGACCACAACTGTAACACATGTAATCTATATGTGGAGTTGTAGAAATAGGGGGTGGGGGAGGGAAAGCTGGGTTGCTGTGCAGGACTCTGGCTTGTTTGAGCAGGGGCTGAAGTGGGGGGAGGTGCCACCCACTGAGACACGGGGGGGGGGGGGGCAGGAGAGGGGCTGGGGCCGGAGCAGGGGACAGCGGATTCGTGCAGAGATGTTGAGCTCGGGCATTCCCTGGGTGGCAGAGGGCACCGCTCCGTGAGCAGCTAGACGCTAAGTGGCAACAACCTTCCCATCTTGACCTTGACCTGGGTTCTTGATCACCGCTCCAGAAGACAAACCAGAGGATAACGTGAAAATGTGCGATTTCTGCGGCTTCACTTGTTTCTTTAGCCTCTAATCAGCGTCAAGGTGCTATCCTGTGTTGTATAAGGACACGGAGGGAGGGGAACAACACTTGATCTTAGCCAAAAGGCCGAGAAGCAATGGGGAGAGGAACGAAAAAAAGGAAACGAAAAGCTCCTGTGCCTGGGTACGACCCTGAGTCAGGTTGGGCCCTGGCAGCTACCCAGGGTCTCACTTGACAAAGCAATTTACTTCCTTCCAACTCCTGTCAGCCCAGGGCCGCCCAGCAGTCCTGGAAGGAGACAACCCATTGCCCAGTGCAGACCCCAGGCCAAGAGAGGGGACATCACGGGCCCCTGGCCAGTGGCAATGAGGCTCGGGCTTCAGTGTCTCTGCCCGGGGCCTCCCCTGTGTCCCCTCACCCCAGCAGAGCTTCCTGGCACAGAGCAAGGAGCCCGGAGTCTCAGAAGCCCAGGTCCCATGGCTGCGAACCTGTACCATTGTGCCTTTGCAGAGTTTGAACTTTAAATTGGGCAGGGACCGGGATGTCCCTCGGGGCGGGAGCAAGTGGGCTATCTACATGGCAGGGGACCAGGCAGCTGCTCCTCAGGGCCGCTTGGCCCTGGTCCATCCCAGCACAGTGCACCTGCTGGCAATGAGCTCAGTCCCTCCCCCTCTGCTCCCCCAAGCCTCGGGTCAGCCCACCCGGCTGCAGCTCCCTGAGTGCATGGGGGCTGTGTGCATGCATGCATCCGGTGCATAGATTATTCTCAGGCAACTGTTACTTTGGCTTGGGGAAGAAGACACAAGGCCCATAATAGTGTCATCTCCCACCCACCCCCAGACATTTGCCCTGCGCCACACTCAGCACTAAGGAGGAATTTCCCACGCTTCACCACCAGGAAGCGACTGTTCCATTGCAGGTAAGGAGGCCGAGTCTGGGGAAACTGACAGCAAGTGGTCAGGTTGGCGCTCAGGCACTGGGTGGTCAGACTGCAAGGCAGGAATCCCAGACCCAGGCATACCCAGAGCTTTCTTCTTATGTCTCCTTTTTTTTTTTTTTTTTCTTTTTTAAGGATTTATTTTCATTTGGAGGAAGGTGGGAGAGATCTTTAAGACCGTAACAGCCAGGGCTGAGCCAGGCTGCAGCCAGGAGCCCAGAGCTCCAGCCAGGTCTCCCACATGAGTGGCAGGGGTCCAAGCACTTGGGCCCCCGAGCAGGGAGCTCAATAAGCTAAGACGCGAACTGGCACTCAGATACAGGGTACACAGGGTGCCGGCGTGGCAGGTGGCAGCTCAGCTCGCCGGGCCATAGCAGCAGGTCCCCTCCTCCCTTCCTTTTAAAATGGTTTGTGTTGCCGAAGGTAAGCATCAAATGGTTGAAACTGGAGTTACCAGGCAATGAGATTGACGGGACGTTCACCTTGCAGAGTAGCTGAGTCTGTGAGACCCCGGGGCTGCAGGTTGCCGGACAGAGGAGGTGTTTTGCAGGTTACAGAGCCCCAGAAGTCACCTGAGTGAGAGGTTCCTGGTCTCAGGAGGAGAAGCTTGACCAGGCTCCCCCGGCAAAAGCTGCACGTCAAACCCTGTGACACTCTTCCAGCCATCAGCCTGCAAAACGGGGGCTGGGGCACCACACAGCCTCTTTCAGGGACACTCCCTGGCTAAGCACTCTGTGTATCTGGCTTTCCTGGGCACACAGGTGTGATGGGAGCAGGCAGACACTGGGGTGGCTGAGTGCGCTGTGAAACGCCCTCCCCACCGCAGGCCGAGGGCTGCCCAGCTCTCTTCCCTGGACATGCATCAGGGTTACCTAGGCCAGGGGGAGGGGGCCTGGCAGAAGTGACACACGTCGCCTCCAGGCTGGAGCAGGTAACAGCTGGCGAGAGATGGTGCTCTCGCGTGTCCTCCCCACGCCGTAGTAACTGGACGTCACTGATGGCGGTGCCACCGTCAGCCAGGGTCTCAGAGGACGGTCCCCTGGGAGCTCACCGAGGCATGTGGCATGAGAAAGAAGGAAAACACTGTCACGCTAAGCCACTAAAATGACAAGGGTGTGTGTCTTCCGGACAGATCACCAAGGGCATGGCAGCTGCCCCGACGTCCCGACCCATGCTAACCTGGCCGCTGGGTACTTCCCAGACCCAGACACTTTCGGGCTGTAAGCCACTTGTCTTGCGGGCCGGCCCCTCTTTCCACGAATGCGTCATGATGCGACTTTTAAGTTGTGGGGAATCCCGCCAGGTTCCCAGTGTGACTTCAGAAAGAGCAGCTGCTACAGCGGGCAGGAGACTGGCACCCCCTAAGCCCCTGCCCCAGCGGTCACAGCGGCTGCACCATTCCATGGGGCAGCGGCAGTTGGTGGGGGGACCTAGGATCAGGCGTTGGGGCAGAACAGCCCTGGATCTCAGTGAACGGTCAGTTCCGACGGCAGTCACTGACACCTCCTGGGATCAGGGATGAACCGGACACAGCCCTTCCCCTTCAGCAGCTCCCGGCCCAGGGAGACAGACAGCAACGTAGCCTTGAAGCAAGGCAGGACGCAATGCACGTGAGCCGGTAGCTGTGTTGCATCCTGTGCTGGGGTGCTCAGTTTCTGAGGAGGCCCCGAAGAGAAGGGGTGCGGAGCTGGGCCTTGAAGGGTGAGCAGAAGAGAACGGCCAGTCCAGCCCCAGGGAACTGCACGGAAGCCGGAACGTGCGGGCTTTGCTCACACGGGGGAGCAGTGGGGGGCGGCCGCAGCCGGTGTCGGAGTGAGCCACAAGTGTCCCCGCTATCCCATGTGGTCCTCCTGTTAAGATAAAGGTGAGGGAGAGCTCAGAACCCCCTCCCCCATCGTGTCTGGGGTGGGACTCTGTGAGGAGCACAGGTCTCTTTGTGCCACCGCGGCCGGCAGAGACAAAGCCTGCGAGTCCTGTTCTTTGGTTGCAGGGTTTGCTTTGTCTTTGCATGGGAGGCTTGGAGAAGCCCAGGGGTCTTTAGAAGCTCAAGAAGGGGAGGGATGTGTCCCAGGTCACAGCAGAACTGAGTGAATGAGGGCAGAAGCCATGTCTGTCCCTGCCGTGCGCCCAGCGCCCAGCACGGACCCTGATGCAGGATCCAAGCCCCACAGCCATCTGCAGCACCATGGGCAGTTCTTGCTCTCTTCTTGTTCATTTGCCAAACCTCAGCAAGAGAAACCCTACCTCTAAATCCCCCCAGGTGAGATGTGAGGTCACCTACCGACCCAGATGGACCATCTCCGCTGGCTGCAGACACTGTTGCTTAACAAGCACCTGGATTCAGGGCACAGGCTCCGGGGTCAGGGAGGAGGTGTCCCTTGTCCGGGAGTGGTGGGTTCAGACCCTGCAGGTGCCTGCAGCTGAAGGTGCTGTCTTCCCCTGGCCTGGCCTGTGGCTGCACCTCCATGGATGGCCCATGAGCACCTTCGTGTGTGCCTCTCCTCTGGGCTACACGGCACCCCAACATTCAAGGAGGAAACCAAGTTCAGAGGGGTCAAGCGACTTGGTCAATGTCACGTAGCTAGTCTCTACTGAGGGTAGGAGGCAAACCTGGGTCTTTGGGGTACGCATTCAACGGCTGTTGAGAGCCCGCCATGGGCAGCATTTGCTGTAGGTGGGGCGGGGAGGAAAGAGAGAGACTCCTGCTCTCAAGGCACAGTAGAGAAGACAGGGGAACCGCATACCGCACAGGAACCTGGTGCGCGCCCAAGGGCTGTGGAGCACAAGAAGGGAAAGGCAGCTCTGCAGAGCAGGGAGGGGGAAGAGGTGACATGGAGCCGGGCTCTGAAGAAGAGGCAGGGAGGCGAGCCGGCAGGCCCCGACAGACAAGCAGGTGCAGTGGGGTGGGGGCACCAAGCATCCAGCCAGGGAGGACAGCCAGGGCTCCGTGGCTGTCACAGGACTTTCACAGTCAATCCTGGGGTGAATGCGGTGGGGATTACCTTTGCTGAACAGTGAGAGTTCACACTCAGCTCTTCCTTCTCTTTCAGACCAGGGCTACCTGGGGAAAAGGCAGCTTTCCTGTCCTACCCACACTGCTGCGCTCTGGGGACACTTGGCTCTCGGCCGTGGATTTCTGACCTGGGCATTTCCCACAGACGCTCAGCGGAGTGCTTCCGGCTTCCAGGAGAAAACTCCAGCCTCTTCCCATGCCTCCCTTTATAAAGCACCTCCACTGTGTGGCCCCGTGGGCAAATAGTTATCCTAGACAACAGTAGGGAGGCCACGAAGTGAGTCTCTTGCTTTCAGGACCTGGCCACGTTCCTCTTTGGGCACAGGGACGTTCTCATGCGTCTTTTTTGCAAATCAGTGGTTTGTGATTCTTTGAGAAGGGAGGAACAGAGCTTTTATGGAGACACTGGCAGGAGGTGAAGCTTGGTGCATCCGAGAGCACCCCTACAGTTGATGGGGTGAAGGTGAAGGGGTTCACGAACCCACCTCTAGCGGGCTCCAGAAGAAGTCTAGCGCCACCACAGGGGAGGGAAGACAGCGTCTTCCCAGTCACCGGAACGCTGAGCCCTGCCTACAGGAAGAGCTCCCCAAGGCAGGTCCCGATAGGAAGCAGGGTCTGTGGATTTGCACTGACAACTCTGGTGTCGACAACACAGAGTGGAAGAAGTGTTCACGAGACGCCTATAGAACGAGAAGTCTTCATACGGAAAACATGGGAAATTGCCAACAAGAGAAGGGACGAGCAGATACCAGACTTACATGTCCTACGCAGCTGATGTGTTCAAATCTTCCTGGTCCAAGGAACGCTGGATGAGCGTCACCCATCACACACCCACCTCCCAAAGCTCACCCCACCTCACCGAGGGAAGGGGGTGGCACCTTTAAACCCTGGGACCTTTCCATCTACTAATTTTTCTTACCACCATGGCCCCAGCACCTGAGACGACACAGGAGACACTCCAAAGTATTCAGGGAATGAACCTGAAAAACCATGGCCATAAATTCAGTCATAACCTAGAAAAGGGGTTTTCTTCTAACAGTCGGGATCTCTGTAGATTCCAAAGGAGTGTGCCCACCATGAATCCCATCCTACTGCATCCTCGGTGCCCTGCCTGGAGGGAGCAGCCAGGGGCCTAGGGCATCCCGCATCCTCCCGGAAGGTGGGCCAGGAGAACTGGAGAGCTGGGGGGGCCCAGATCTGAACTCTCCCGTGATACAGAGGGTGAAACCAAATTCCAGAGAGGGAGGCTGACCCGCAGCGGGTCACACGCCCAGGTGACTTGGCTCCCAGGCTAACCAGAGCATTGTTTCGAAACGCCCTATGGCCCAGATGGCAAAGCTGTGAGATGGATGGGGCCAACCACACCGTCAGGACGGGCTATGTCCTGCTGGGGCTCCAGAAGCACCCCTGGCTCGAGACGGTCCTGTTTGTGCTCTGCCTGGGCGTCTACGTGGTGACTGTGCTGGGGAACTCCCTCCTCATAGGACTGAACGTGCGGGACCCCCGCCTGCACAGCCCCATGTACTTCTTTCTCAGCAACCTCTCCCTCATAGATCTCTGTGGCACCACCGCCTTCATGCCGCTCATGTTAGTCAACTTCCTGGGAAGCCACAGGACCATCTCCCGCCCCGGCTGCGCCCTGCAGATGTACGTGACCCTGGCGTTGGGCTCCACAGAGTGCCTGCTCCTGGCCGTGATGGCGTACGACCGTTACGTGGCCATCTGCCAGCCGCTCAGGTACTCGGAGCTCATGAGTGGGCAGGTGTGCGTGCAGCTGGCCGTGCTGAGCTGGGGGACGGGCTTTGTCAACTCCCTGCTGCACTCTGTCCTGGTGTGGCGCCTCCCCTTCTGTGGCCACAGCATCATCAACCACTTCTTCTGCGAGATCCTGGCCGTGCTGAAACTGTCCTGTGGGGACATCTCGCTCAATGCACTGGTGCTCATGGTGGCCACCACAGTCCTGATGCTGACCCCGCTCCTGCTCATCTGCCTCTCCTATGTTTGCATCCTGGTGGCCATCCTTAGGGTCCCCTCTGCCGCAGGCTGGCGCAAAGCCTTCTCCACCTGCTCTGCCCACCTCACAGTGGTGGTGGTTTTCTATGGGACCATCCTCTTCATGTACTTCAAGCCCAAGGCCAAGGACCCCGACGTGGATAAGATTGTCACGCTCTTCTACGGGGTGGTGACACCCTCGCTGAACCCCATCATCTATAGCCTGAGGAACGCAGAGGTGAAAGCTGCGGTCACAGCTCTGTCGGGGGGAGGTCCCCTCTCCAGGCAAATGCCCCACGTTCACTGCTGCTCTCTGCACCTGTCAGGCCGCAGAGGCTAGGCTGTGGTCAGGACCTCAAATTTCTGGTGGTTGACAACCATGGAAGTCTGTCTGTCACTCTTGCCGCAGCAGGTCCATCGGAGCCCGGTGAGGGGTTCTGCTCTGCATCGTCTTCACCCCCTGGGGCTTGGGGTGACAGAGCCGCTCCCCTCTGGAATGGCGCTGACCACCACGACAAAAGGAAGAGCGCGGTAAAGCCTCTGCTCACAGGTGACAGCTGTCACGTCATTGGCCAACCGACATGACACAGCCATGGACAGGGACAGCTAGCGTGGGTCTGCCAGGGAGGAGAGGACCAAGCGTGTGGGACGGCCTAATGACCACATCGTCCTAGAGAGCCAGCCTGATTCGGCTTCCTATTCCCTGACATCCATCCTTCGTGGGATGCTGCCAGTCAGTCGTCCTGAGAAAGCTCTGGTTAGCACCCGTGGTGTGCTTCCAGTACTTTCTGGCCTATATGGATCTGGGCTGCCCACCAGAGAAATCTGGGGGCTGATGCAACACCAGCATCCCATAGGGACAGCAGTTCGAGTCCTGGCTGCTCCACTTTCAATACAGCTCCCTGCTAATGTGCCTGGGAAGGCAGCAGAGGATGGCCCTCTGCTTGGACCCCTGCACCCATGTGGGAGAACCCGGATGAAGCTTCTGGCTCTTGGCTTTGGCCTGGCCCAGCCCCAGCCAATTGCAGCCATTTGGGGAGTGAACCAGTGGATGGAAGACTCTCTCTCTCTCTCTCTCTCTCTCTCTCTCTCTAACTCTGCCTTTCAAATAAATACAAATAAATCTTAAGAGAGCAACCTGTGTGAGATTTGAAAGGCGAGAGTAGCAGCACGAGACGCTGGGGAACACTCCCAGGCGAGGGCTGACTCACCTGCCCGCCTTGTTAGCTGTGGTCCAAACTGTTCCAACCACATCTCCTCCAGACCCAAGGGAAGCTCCGTGGCCAAAGGTGCCAGCCTCCTGCAGGCACCATGGCATCGAGCTTGAAGGCAGTGAGAGCCAGTGCCCTTACTCTCCCTCCCTTCACGCAGCTCTCCCTCCAGACGCCAGCCCAGCTGGCCAAGAGCAGCTTCGGGCCCAGCCCCCAGTGCACACGTCCCAGCTTGGCGGGAGTTTCTCCAACTGCTCCCATGACCGCGTGGTCCAATCTCCGTCATAAATCCCTTGTATCTCTCATAACGGTTCTCCTACTTTGGTCAAACACTGACTGATTCATGGTTCCCCCTATCACCACCTTAAGTCTAAATTCTTCAGCTAACCCTGGAGGCTCTCTGAACTCTGAGCCTACCTGTCTCTACAGCCTGATCTTCCCCCACGCCTTCACTGAGCTGCCCCCACCCACACCATCGGCACCACCACACCACCACGTCTTTTCCCACATGGTTCCCTGATACCACCTGGACTAGTTTTCGAAGGCAGCTTAGATGAGGCGGGCATCTGGCCTAGCACTTAACATGCTGGTTAGGATGACCACATCCTGCCTGGGTTCCACCCCCAGCTTCAACTCAGCTCCTAATTCCAGCTCCCTGCTAATGCAGATGCTGGGAAGCAGAGGTGATGGCTTGGGTAGTATGACCCTGCCACTCAACGTGGGAGACCTGGATGGAGCTCCCAGTTCCTGGCTGTGGTCAGCTGGCTGTTGTAGGCATTGTGGGGGAGGGGAATGAACCAGCAGATTGGCGCATGCACGCTCTCTCTCCTGCCCCACCCTCCCCACCTCTCAAAAAAAAATTTTTTTTTAATAAAAGCTAGCTTAGCCACCATCTCGCCCAGGAATCGCTTGCTGGTGCATTTCGAGACGGTTCTCTGCATCCTGCCGCACGTCATCGGCTCTTCACTCAGGCAGTCACACAGGACTGCCACCTTCAGGGCAGGGCTCCGCTCGCATCACCGTCTGGGCGCTGAGCCCTGTGTCACTGAACGTGCTCCCAGCAGTGGAAGGGGTTGGCTGTCTGGGTCCGGTGGTGTGCACAGCAGGTCAGCACTAGGCAGTGGCAGGATGCGCCAGCCACAGCTCCGTGGGCAAGGCAGGCAGCAGTTGCCTGGATCTCGGGCTCTCCCCGCCCACCCGGGACAAGTCATCGGATAACAAAGGATTCCCAGAGTCCACGCCCAGCACTGTCCTGTCGCTGCTCCCTCACCCTCAGGAATCCCCCTGGCACCTCAAACTCCAGCTACCCAAAGCCAAACTCATCATCTGCCTGGCAAGTCAGGAACGGCACCGCCCCTCCACGTCAGGAGCACGGCGGTCGTCCTGGACCCCCCCTCAGAGCGCACTCCTGCCCCCATCCTGTCACCACCGAGCCCTACAGTCCTAATAGCTCTTTCCAGTGAAACACTGCAGCGGCTGGGTCGCTGTGCTCTCCTCCTCTAATCTCTCCCCACAAATCCATCTTCGGCACCATCCGACGAAACAATCTGAGCTACTCTCCTGCTTAAGTCTCTTCCATGGCTCCTCATTGCCCAGAGCATAAAAATCAGACCCTCACCTCTGTCGGCTATGTCTCTGCTGCCCGCCTCTGACGCCCTGCTGCGCACACACACACACACTGGACTGTTCAGGTCCTCAGTAAACACCAGCCTTTCTTACCCCCGCCTCCCCCCTGCTGTTCCCTCCCCACGTCCAAACACTGGGAGGCCTTTCGCTAACGTATGCGGGCCATGTGTCACAGGCTACACACTACACGACATGCTCTAAGTGCTTTACTGGCTGGGGACCAGATGTAAACCTCAGGGGAGGGATGCGATACGGACACTGGTGCCCCCTGAGAGCACTTTCCCAGCATCCTGGCGTTCTGGCAAGCCCATTATGCCTCATCCAAGCTCCCCTCTTCCAGGAATCAGCTTGCGGTCACTCCTGGCTGGGTGGGACGTGTCCCAGCTCTGTCTCCCTCTGCTGTGTGTCCTGGGCTCTGCTAACTGATGAGGCCGAGGCAACTTCAGCTGGCTGACAAGGTCACAGCAGAAGGTCTGCCTCGGCGAGGCATGAGGACAGCTGCGGACCTCTTGGTGGTTTTAGGTTTGTGGGAAACTGCACTCTGCATAAGAAAGCCGGAGCTTCCTGGTGTCCCACTAACGACTGCTGTATTCCTAATTTTTGGGAAGAACACTTAGTCTCATTATCCCCAAAATGTCCATTACTTTGTAAAATTTTAATCAAGCAGAACGCTAGTGTGGGAGAAGGGGTTAATGCTTTATACAAGGTTGAGCTGTTTGTGAAAAAGAATTAAAAGGCAACAGGCTTCCTGGTATATACTTCCCACTGGAATAAAGATAAATGTTATTAAAGCTTTAATTCAATATATGCTACAAATACTACAATGGTTAGGATGTCAAAACTGTGGAATAGATCTAGTGAACATTTAAATAAGTACAATAAAGAAATTAGAATTACAGAAAGAACTGCAAAGAGGGGATACATTTTAAAAGGGGCCTGCTTTGAACTTGGGGCTTCTAGCAAAGATTAGATTAGGAAGGTACTGTTCTAGCTTGTGTAGCCAATTTCTGCATAGCTCGACAGCACTCCGGGCCTTGGCTTGTGTGGGCAGCCCGTTATCTTGCACCTGTCTGTGATTGCAACCCATGCTCTGAATATGCCCTTGAAAATCAAAGAAATTGTAATTAGAAAAAAGTGGACAACAGACTTATTATTGTGAGAAAAAAGAGTCATTATGTGGCTTATGATATAAAATTAAAGTCTGGTGCTGGCGAGCCACAGCCATGCCGTCAGCCTTGCTGGGAGTGTGTCTCATTTCTTCGAGCGCCGACACCTCTCACACCTTGGGGCCCCTGGACTGGCTGGAGCTTGTCTCCAGCAGCGAACTCTGTCCTGACACACAGCCGTTTGGGCTCGAGCGTCCTGGTGACCTGGCTCGGAACATCCTGCTGTGATGACGTGTCTCGGGTATGCAAAGAGCGGCCAGCCCAGTCACTGCTGCGTCATGCTCTGCCCAGTGCCCAAGGAAGAGATGTGACTGCAGACAGCAGGGAAGAAAGCAATGATTTCCTGGCTTTGGGGCTTCAAAAGCACAGGCCCATAATGGAAACGAGATGACTTAAGGCACGGATAGATGAAATATTTGGGGGAAAACATAAGTAAAAGTTAACTAGCAAAAAGGAGGAATGAAGAGAGAAGAGCAGGCAAGTGAGAGCACAAAAGAGAGGGGTCCTGGGCCCCACTGCTAGGGCCAAACCCCTGCATAGGTTTGCAGGATTTACAACGTGTGGACTGTTGAGTAATACCCAGAGCAGGAACAGCTTCAAGGTATGTCTGCAGAGCCAAGACCTCAGACAACCACACAGGCGTCTGCCTAAGGAGGAGAAGTGGTGGAGAGAGCCTCAGGCTGCATTTGGGAATGGGAAACCTCCCCCCACCCCAGAGGGCCTGTCTGGGCTGCTGCCTGGGGGCCAGATGGAATGACGAAAGTCTCAGGGGCCAGATGCAGTGTGGACACTGGGGAGCAGGGAGAATGCTCCCCCAACGTCTTGGCGTTCTATAAGCCTCTCAGAACTCAGCTGTGGGAGTGGGGGCTCAGTAATTAAGATGCCCACCTCCCACATCAGTGCCTGGGCTCCACCCCAGCTCTGCTCCTGACCTCAGTGTCCTGCTAATGCAGACTCTGGGGGGCAGCGGTGATGGCTCACGTAATTGGAGTCCTCCGCCACGTGGGAGAGCCACGCTGAGCCCCTTGCTGCTGCTTTGCCCCAGCTGTTGTAGGCATTTGGAGAATAAATCCGCATATGGGACCCCTCTCGCATGCACGCGCTCTCTCCCTCCCTCTCCTCTCCCCCTCCCACCCCATCTCTCTGCCTCTAAATTAATAATTTAGAAAAAGCTCTGCCATGACTGTGTGGAAAGAGGAAATCTCTAAAGGTTATGTCTGGCGCTCAGGAGAAATGGGGACTCAAAACAGAAGTCACACTCTTGCGATATTTCCTGCACAGATTTGTACCTGTCACTCCGATTTCCTGAGCCCTGGCTTCCTTCCCTGTTGGGTGCGGCATCGTGAGGGAAGTGCAGGTCACTGATGTAAGTCATCTCATTCACATGCACACACATGTGCACACACACACACACACACACACACACCACAGCTACTGCACACTGGACTCCATCAGGACTGAGGAATTAGCATTGGGAAGTGCCTAGGCAGGAACCTAGGGACCAAAGAATGGGAGGCGGGGGTGTGGATGGTGAAGCAACAACCTCAGGCAGCAGCTCCCGCAGCTGGTCCAGGCTGGGCTCCCACTGCCCCTGTTGATTTCCTCAGGGTCCCTCCATCCCTCCTTTCCCCAACCCCTTGGCCCCAGGCAAGAAGGCAGCACAGAACCAGCACGGACTTCATTGGAGACACACCAGACTCCACCTGTACCAACGCAGGATACCAGCACCCGGTCCACTCCATCTGTCCTGCATCCGCCCCTGCAGCCAAGCCCAGCCTCTGCGAAGGCAGCCCGAGGACAGAGCTGCTGAGCCTCTGGGAAAGCCTGCAGACTCGGCTTCCCCAAGGTGGGCTCCATTTGCTCTGGGCTGACGCCTGCTTCCTGACAGCACTCTGTCTCCCTGGGAAGGAATCCACGTCTCTGGGAGGGCTCCAGATCTCCGGGAAGGGACTCCTGGGTGCTGAGGGGGCTCTGAGCACTGCACGGGCTCCAGCCTTGAAGAAGGACTCCATGGATGCAGGACCCCAGGCCCTCAGGCAGCTCTCCAGGCACGGGGACTGGCTCCTGGAAGAGTTCTATGTCCTTGAGCAAGACTCCATGTCCTCTCTCTCTGGTCCCTGGGAAGGCTCCAAGCCCTAGGGGCGAACCCCAGGACAGGCTCCTATTCCCAAGGGCCAGGCCCAAAGCTCCCCTCAGCTGGCACAGATGCTGCTGACGGTGGCCCCTCCTGGGCCCACAAGGCCCAGCTCTTCCTGCTCATTGATGCACAGTTGGTATCCGCAGCCCCGGGCCCGGGCGCCAGAGGGGACCCGGGGGTCGGCTTTGGCACGAGGGGGCAGCAGGAAGCCCACACTGCCAGCGATGAGCATATGCCAAATACTGTGAATGTAGAAGTAGTTGTCCCGGGTCTCCACAAACGCGTACAGCAGGATGGCGCTGCCGGCAATAAGGCTGCCCGGGCACAGGTAGAAAAGCCAGCGACGCCACGTGGGTGGGTAGCAGTGCCGACGGCGGACACTGCGCACTGTCTGGGGGAGGCAGAGAAGTGGGGCTCAGCAACGCGAGGGCCTGGGACCCAAGCCAGAGCTGGGCACTCACAGGCTTCCCCCAAGCCCGGGCCGTGACCTAAGGCACCTGCCAAAATTGATGTGGGCACTGTGAGCAGCAGGTGACGGTGACAGAGCCCAAGCCCACCCGCAGCTGGGGACCAGAGACCCAGGGCCCTGCATCCAGGTCTGGCTGGGACTGACCGCCCCCCACCCCAGCCCCTTCCACCCTTACCCAGGCTGTGGCCAAGATCCCCAAGGCGAAGAGGCTGGGTCCAAGCAGGTTCCAGAGTCCATGTCGGTCAAGCTGCAGAGCCATGGACAGCAGCATAGCTCCCAACAGATACAGCACCTAGAGAAAGAGCTCTCCCAGGCCTGGGCTAGAGCCGGGTGACAGCACTCCCCGGGCTGGGCCAGGCTGGCAGCGGGCTCTAGGAAAAGCCCCCAGGGAGAGGTGAAGAGTGGACTTGGGCAGACCCTGGCCATGGCTGTCCCCCAGGGTCCGCTCTGGACTGACCTGCTTGACCACAGGCTGTAAACGAGCCATGGCGATGACAGTGACCCACACCGACATCAGGGAGCCCAGGAAATCGCAGAACTGCAGCACATCGTAGTCCATGATGCAGAACACCACAATGCCTGGCTGGTCGCACGCGTGATAGAACTGGGGGGAGAAGCGCCAGCACTCAGAGAACTTGGAGCAGAGGTCACGGATCAGGGCTGGGAGAAGCCTGACTCCCCAACGCCTGAGGAGAATGTGATGGGGAGGCCCGGTGTGCTTCATCAACCCCATGTATGTTCAGCCTCACCCTGGACCTCACCTGGCTAAGCTTCCTGCTCCTGGAACGTGCTGTGCAGAGTGCCAGGTCGGGGGTACGGACCTCTCAAGCAAAGGCCCATCCTTCCCTGACACCTCACGCTCACCATGGGCCCCCCCACAGGCTCCATCCCTGGCTGAAGCTCGGGAGGCTGGCCCCGGCCTCTTGGCCAAACCCGGACCCAAACCTCTGCATGTCTATTTCCCAGGTAGCTCAGACTCTGAAACAGGCTTCACTCAAGACCTGCACTGACTGGCACCCTTCATCCCCTCCCACTCGGTGCAGGGACGGGGGCAGTAAGAAAAAGGCAGGCCCCACAGCCGGGGAAGAGCGCGGGGAAGGGCGGCTTGTGATGGCCATGGAAGCAGGGTTAAGAAGAAAATCTAAAGTCTACAGTAGGGAAGGCGTGGCCTCCGGGCCACCTGCCCCATGCTTCCTGGCCTGCACGCTCCCACACGTGGCTGGCCCTGGTGCTCGGGATGAATCCAGATCTCCCTCTCCTTTAGACAGGGCCCTCATTCTCCTGTGCATTTCTCTCACTGAATAAAAAGCCTAAAACTTAAAAAAAAAAAAAAGTCTACAGTAGGAGAAAAAGGGGCTCTGACCTCTATAAATTTTATCAAAATCTACTCATTGGAGCTAAGCTTGAGACAGGCCAGCAGACATTAGAAAAGTTTAAGATTCTGTGACTCGATCTTGATCTCTGACCCCCACACATCTCAGGGCATCTTGTGCCAGGGCTGGACTGAAGTCCATCGGGCTGCACTGAGGCTGGGGCAGGAAGGTTAAGTGCGGCATCGCAGGTGGCCTTTGGAGTGACTTGAAGATTAATATCAGAGACTGCTTCAGCCCAAGTCAGCCTATCATTTTATTAAGAGACACTTAAATCACAAGGGCTCTGTACCCATATAAGAGGCAGCTTCTCAGACCTCAATAACACAGGTCCTAGAGGCAGGAGGGCTGTGAGCAGGGCCCTGGATATCCAGTCCATAGCTCAGGAAAGAGACAGCCGAGCAACACAAGTCTCCATGTCACAACAGCAGTAACCAGAGACTCGAGCGGGACTACAGACCGGTGACCGTGCTTCCTCAGTGAGGGCGCCCGGGGTAGCTTGCTGCAATTGCCTGCATCCCCTTTGAATGCCAACAGCCTGCCTTTTACTGCACTCTCCACAGTGTGGCACAGACAGCACCAGGAGACCACCCCTTCCCCGTGCTCTTCCCCACGGCCTCAGGGCTGCCTTTTTCCTTAGCTGCCCACCCCAGCACTGGGAGAAGGGGATGAAGAGGGCCAGTTAGTGCAAGGCCTGAGAGTGAAGCCCACAGGGTGTGAGCTCTTAGGGGAACTGGGAACATGCAGGAAAGGTGGGGGTCAAGGTGGGTTTGGCCAAGAGGCTAGAGCTGGGCTCTTTCTCAAATGCACTCACCCACTGGGACTCAATTTAGTTTCTGACCAAATCGGTAGTTTGGTCTTTTTCTATTTTAGCTATAGGACATTGATTAGTCTCTACTTCCATGACCAGAAGCAAATACTACAGGCAACCAAATTACCCAATACTGTTTTGTGATTAAAACCTTCGTTTAAAGCATTAAAGCTTCTTTTAAAGCATTCACATTGTAGGCCTGACCAAATACTTGTGCCGTATATCTTTCACATTTATAAAAGGAAATGCCCAAAACTTTCTGGAAAAGATACTTGTCCCAGATCTTTACATTTCCAGGAAGGAAGGAGACACGCCAACAGAGAAAATGGCAAAGCTGAGTCCCCGGACATTGCAGACACATCTGGGGAAGGACTCAGGGCCAACTTTCTCCTACGAATTCCTCTGCACTAAAGTGGGGAGGGAGCACTGTGGCACAGTGGGTTAAGCCATTGTTTAGGATGCCCACATCCCATATCAGAATGCAGGTTCAAGTCCTAGCTACTGCACTTACTCTCCAGTTTCCTGCTGAGAAAGCAGCAGGTGATGGCCCAAGTGCTTGGGTCCCTGCATCCAACCTGGAGGACCCAGACTGAGCTCCAGGTTCCTGGTTTCCAGCCTCAGATATTGTAAGCACTTGGGGAATGAACCAGCTGATGGAAGATCAATCTCTCTCTCTCTCTCTCTCACCTCTCTCTGCCTTGCAAATAAATAAATCTTTATAAAAAGAGTAGGAGATGGGGCCGGCGCTGTGGCATAGTGGGTAAAGCCGCCACCTGCAGTGCCGGCATCCCATATGAGTGCTGGTTCGAGACCCGGCTGCTCCACTTCCAATCCAGCTCTCTGCTATGGCCTGGGAAAGCAGTACGAGATGGCCCAAGTGCTTCAGCCCCTGCACCCACGTGGGAGACCCGGAATAAGCTCCTGGCTCCTCACTCCTTGCTCCTGGCTTTGGATCAGCAGCCCATTGGGGAGAGAACCAGCAAATGGAAGACCTCACTCTCTCTGCCTCTCCTTCTCTCTCTGTGTAACTCTTTCAAATAAATAAAATAAATCTTAAAAAAAAAAAAAAAGAGTAGGAGGAAATGGAGCTACTATCTCTGAGATGGAGAGGTTTTCGGGGAATCAGCTCACTGCTGTTCTGTGACTGATTATTCTCCAACCACATTAACAGGTCAAAGCAATTGTTAAAAACTGTGGAAAGGCAGGTAAAGCCACCGTCTGCATCCCATATGGGCACTCAAGATCCAGCTGCTCCATTTCCGATCCAGCTCTCTGCTATGGCCTGGGAAAGTAGTGGAAGATGGCCCAAATCCTTGGACCCCTGCACCCACATGGGAGACCCGGATGGCTTTGGATCAGCACAGCTCTGGCCATTGCGGCCAACTGGGAGGTGAACCAGCGGATGGAAGACCTCTCTCCCTCTCTGCCTCTCCTTCTCCCTCTGTGTAACTCTGACAAAGAAAAGAAAAGAAAAGAAAAGAGAAGGGAAGGGAAGGGAAGGGAAGGGAAGGGAAGGGAAGGGAAGGGAAGGGAAGGGAAGGGAAGGGAAGGGAAGGGAAGGGAAGGGAAGGGAAGACAGACAAGACACCATTGCATACCGTGGAGAAGAACATGGTGAAAGTGTAGACGGAAGCTTCCAGCACGTAGCGGCTCCGAATGGCCAGGACCACGGGTGGCAAGAACATGAGGTTGCTCAGGCAGAGCAGCAGGGTGGACAGCAGCTGGAATCCGTAGGTGAGTGCGTCCGCACTGTCCGTGCAGCCCCAGCCCCGCCACCCTGCAGGCGGGAAGGCACGGGACGGAAAGGGACAGAGGCCACCTGGCTTCAGCAGACACTTCCGCTTGAGGCCTCTTGTCAAACCCCAGTCACTGCCAGTGACAGTGCTCTCTGCCCTCCCATGCTCTCCAAACCCATCCCAGTTCCGGCTGCCCCCACCCCACCCGGCAGGGCCACCCCTCCAGCCCACTCCCTCCAGCCGCCTCACCAGCCTTGCACTCGCAAGCCGCGTACAGGTAGTTGTGTGTGCGCAGCAGCTTGCACTGGCCGTAGGGCCCGCAGTCGTCCACACATGGGGACAGGAAGGTGCGCAGCCGCACTTCGGCTGTTGCATTGCGGCACCGCACGAACCTGTACACACACTCGCTGTCAGCTGAGGCCCCCTGGGCCACGCCACCAGGCCCTGCCCGTCCCCAGCCCCACTGTGCCCAGTGCTGCTCACCGAGGCCCTGCCCCACACAGGGAGCGGAGGGTCAGGAACCAGGTCCCTGTCTGCGGGAATGGGATTCGCAGCCTGGCCACTCTGGAGGTGGCACTGACAGAGAGAAGGAAGCCAGCCAGGGACTCTGAATGAAGGGAAAAGGGGGGACCCGTGACAGGCAGGTGGGGTCAGTGAGGAGTCGGGACCCCAAGTATCCTCACCCACCTGCTCCCCGCTTCCCAGGCAGCGGGCCTGTCCTTCCTCCACACCTTCCCCCACGACCCCCACGGGGGACTTCCTGACTCCTCTCCTCCCTGTTGCTCACCCCACCTTTGGAACAGGTCACCGCTGCATCGCCCAGGCTCAAGGGCACCTCGTGAGTCAGGCAGCCGAACACCGTCACATTTTCCTGCCGCAGGGAGCTCTGGGGGGCGTGGATATAAAGATGAGGCTCCCACACCCTGCAGTCTGCCCGCCCCCCACACTCCTACACCTGTTCACCCCTCTGCACAGCCCGCTCCTCCAGGTGCTCCCCTCGAGGCTGCCCTCTCACCTCCATTCCTAAAGCAGAAAAACTGAAAACGTCAGACCGTCCTCAGCAAAAAGCTTGCAAGGACTCACGAGAAGGCAAGGGCAAGTCCGAATCGTCTTTGATTCGGGAGACAGATGCCCCTGCCTCAATGGGAAGGGGAGCTAGTGTGGGCAGAGATACAGTGAGGCTCTCGGTCACCTTCACCTGGGACAGCAGGCGGGATGGGGGCGGGTAATGTAGCCACGTGGCTGCCAGGGGGCTGCTTACTAAACACATAAAACGGGACGAGACAAATGCCAGAGAGACGCATTTAAATCCAGGGAGGAAAATCAAGTCTGTCCCTCGATGTGGGCCTTATATTTGGGACTGACTTCCACACCACCAAAGCATGGTCGGTTTCCAGATCGGTGCATCCACAAGGTAAAAGTTCACCAGGGTCTCCAGAGAGCAGCATCCAAGCAGGCGTCTCTCAGGCACACTCTCATCACAGCAGCGCACTTGTCCTCGACCACCGGGTGGGCTCCACACACCCTGCTTATAACTCCCTCAACACAAGCCCAGGGCAAGGCGCCAAAGCATTACTCAGTGAAAGTCATTCCAAGAGGGGGCCAAAAGCGGGGGGAAAATGTCTCTGGGTATGCAGTTCCCTGATCCAAATGTCCTGTTCTTGATCCAAATTTTTAAAAAGTCAAAATATTTGGATGGCAAGATCAGGATCTCTGGCTGGGAAACAGTACATTAGCTCATGGATCAGAGTCAAGCTGAAGACAGTCTCCAACGGGGATGAGTGCTGCAGTGCTTATGGGAATCCCATAGAGGCACAGGTTTGAGTCTTGGCTGCTCCAGTTCTGATCCAGCTCCCTGCTTAATGCTCCTGGAAAAGCAATGGAAGATGGCCCAACTGCTGGGCCCTGCCACCTACATGGGAGACCTGGATGGAGTTCCTGGCTCCTGGCTTCAGCCTGGAACAGCCCCAGTTGTTGTGACTATTTGGGGAATAAACTAGCGGGATGGAAAATCTCCTTCTATTTCCCTTGCGCTCTTTCTCTCTGTCACTTTGTCTTTAAAATAAATATTTAAATCTTTAAAAAAAGAAAAAATTCTCCAACGGACCAACACAGGGTTCTACTCTCATTCCAGTCTTATTCCATGCTAATAATATTTTTTTAAAAGATTTATTTACTTATTTGAAAGTCAGAGTTACACAGAGCAAGAAGGAGAGGCAGAGAGAGAGAGAGAGGTCTTCCATCTGCTGGTTCACTCCCCAATTGGCTACAACGGCCGGAGCTGCGCCGATCTGAAGCCAGGAGCCAGGAGCTTCTTCTGGGTCTCCCACGCGGGTACAGGGGCCCAAGGACTTGGGCCATCTTCTACTGCCTTCCCAGGCCAAAGCAGAGAGCTGGATCAGAAATGGAGCAGCCAGAACTCGAACAGGCGTCCATATGGGATGCCAGCACTGCAGGCAGCAGCTTTATCCACTACACCACTGCGCTGGCACCCCATGCTGATAATATTGACTAAGAGGTATAGAAAGCTGGTTTGCCAAATGTACAAATTATACAAAACAGAGAAGGCCTAAGGCCCAGGCTAGTATAAGACAATGCCCTCAATTTGTATTAGGAATCCTTCTATTCAGGTTCAAAGTTCACTGCAAAAATAAAAGATGGGGGACTGGCACTGTGGTGTAGCAGGTAAAGCCACCACCTATGAAGCTGGCATCCCATAAGAGCATTGGTTTGAGTACTGGTTACTCTACTTTTGATCCAGCTCCCTGCTAAAGTGCCTGGGAAAGCAGTGGAGAATGACCCAAATACTTGGATCCCTGTGGGAGACCTGGATGAAGCTCCTGGCTCCTGGCTTTGGCCTGGCCCAGCTCTGGCTGTTGCAGTCATCTGGGGAATGAACCAGCGGACAAAATATCTCTCTATATATATATATCTCAGTCTCTCTCTCTTTCTCTGTAACTCTAACTTTCAAATAAATAAATAAATCTTAAAAAAAAATACTAGGGGCCGGCACCGTGGCTCACTTGGTTAATCCTCTGCCTGCAGTGCCAGCATCCCATATGGGCGCCGGTTCTAGTCCCAGTTGCTCCTCTTCCAGTCCAGCTCTCTGCTGTGGCCCGGAAAGGCAGTGGAGGATGGCCCAAGTGCTTGGGCCCCTGCACCCGAATGGGAGACTAGGTGGAGGCACCTGCCTCCTGGCTTCGGATCGGCACAGCGCCGGCCGTTGCAGCCATTTGGGAAGTAAGCCAATGGAAGGAAGACCTCTCTCTCTCTCTCACTGTCTGACTCTGTCAATAAAAAAAAAAAAAAAATACAAGATGAGAAGTGTGTGTAGTTCACAGGCTCAAGGCACCAAAATGTGTGCCCCTTGATTACAACTGGATAAGCCAGGCAGTTAATGGGGAGAGCAACTGCAAAGGTGTCTACTGAAAAGATAAATAGTTGTGTGAGGGGTTTTCCCACTTCTGCCATCCTATTACTTTTATGATATTAAAAAAAGGCATCTCGGTTCAAGTCTCAGCTGCTCCTCTTCCAATCCAGCTCTCTGCTATGGCCTGGGACAGCAGTGGAGGATGGCCCAAGTCCTTGGGCCCCTGCACCCACATGGGAGACCCGGAGGAAGCTCCTGGCTCCTGGCTTCAGATCGGCCTTTGTGGCCATTTGGGGAGTGAACCAGAGGATGGAAGTCCCCCCCTGCCCCGACTCTGCCTTTCAAATAAAATAAATAAATCTTAAAAAAAAAAAAAGGCATCCGATTATTTTGGAGAGTAAGAAGGAAGGACAGGGGAAAGGTCCAGGGATCTGAGTCCACTGCCAGCCCTAGATGATCCCACAGGCGGGGAAGGAGGCAAGTCCCACTGCCTGCCACCCTGGTCAGGCCACGTCAGACCACTGCGTCACGGCCACGGCGACCACAGACATGCGAGCAGAGAAGAGGCCTGGGAGCAGGGCCACTGAGGCCCAGAGGCTGCTGGGGGAATGTCGGGAGGGCTGTCAAAGCGGGACAGGCATGGAGGGAGTGTGCCACGCCCAGGCGAGATGTCCTAACACGGGAATCTGCAGGGAAAGGCGGGTCTGAGAACACTGTGCTTGCTGCTCAACTTCTCCATAAACCGACAGCCGACTAAAAAACGCAGTCTTTTAATTAAAAGGAAAAATGACAGGGACAGATTTACTGACTGTGACTTTTGGGGCAAAAAAGCAACCAGTGGGTAAAAAATTCACAGAGGCAGACTGTGATGGAATGTCAGGAATGCTTTCAGCAGCAGCAGCAGCATTCCAAACACGGTGACCTCCCCATCACCGGAGACACGCAAGGAAAAGCCAACGGCCACTGGGAGACCTGAGCAAGTGGGAGGCTCTCCACAGCACCGGGAGAACCTCGACCACTCTGTGTTGGTCTGGCTGACCCAGCCCACTCATGGCAAAGTCAACGCTCAGAGCATGCTTGTTGGCCAGAACTGGGCTAAGACACAATCCCTCATTGTAAGGATGGGTGGACACAACCTGGATGGGCTTCCTGGAGGAGGTCTGGGCCCCCACACCCCTGACAGTGTCCTCTCTGAGCTCCTCACAGGGCAACCTCCCCACGTCTGCCAGGAGTACCACGTTGAGCTGGAGCTCCAGGCTGAAGACGCCTCCACTGTCCAGCACTGGCAACAGCCTCAGGGCGAACACGGCTGGGCGCTCAGGGGGAAGGGCCACGCTGGGACCAAAGAAGATGTAGAAGTGGACAGAGAAGGTGTCCAGCTCGTTGCGCAGGGTCGGGCGTACTGGCCAGCAGTGCTCAGGTGGCGATGTGGTCCCGGGCCCCACCACGGATGTCCCAAGGGACGGTGGCTCAGGGGGCAGTGCCTGGTTGCCCAATGACTGGGGCATGTTCATGGCAGCTCCAGGGACCAGGGCACGAGACAAGCTGGGCTGTGGGCACTCTATGAGGGGCACAAGAAACCAGAGTTAGGGCCTGCAGCCTCACCACAAACCAGATATGAGCCATACAGAATTTAGCAAAGGGTGGGGAGGGTGAGAACTAGGATGTTGATGTCCTTGGGAATGTGGGTGCCCAGGGAGGTAATAATAGGGCCCAGGGGTTCCCAGTGATCACAACTAATAAATGTCATTTTGGAGGGAATCAAAGCCATCTGTCCTTTCACAGGGGCAGTGAAAACAGAGAAACAGATAACTAAGTGCGGCAGGCCTTCTCCCTGATCTGTACAAGCTTTGGCCAGGACATTGTCGCAGAGGCCCTGGCTGTCCCTGCCCACCCTAGGAACTGAAAAAAATTAAATCGAGGAAAGTAATGACGGCCTTCAGCTGTCCCGAGTCAGATACAGGGAAAAAAAAAAAGAGAGAGAGAGAGAGAGAGAGAAGGAGGAGGAGGAGGAAATGACAGGAAGGCCTTCCAAGGACTTGGAGCTATGGGTGGGAGAGCTACAGGGAGTGCGAAGGAGCCTGGATGGGGTGGGGGAGACTGCAGGGGTGAGGGCCAATGAACACGGCCAGGCAGCCGTCTACATAGGTGGGTGCTGGGGCAGGTGCGGGGGTTCTGACCTTGCAAGCGCACACACAGCTGGAAGCGGATGGTCCTGCCAGGGCCCCGGGATGGTGTCTCCACACGCACGTAGACCCAGTGCCCCCAGGGGGGCAGCGCCAGCTCCAGCTGGCATACTGAGGCTCCGCCGCAGGCTACCGAGCTTGAGTTGTGCAGCGGTGGGGCCTTGGGACGTAGGCGCAGTGTCAGGGGGCAGGCAGACACCCCGCGGCCCCCCACACACACCAGCTGCGCCGAAACCCTGTAAGTGAAGCTGGGCACAAAGACCCTGGGCAGAGGAGAGGTTGGGGGTAAGAAAGGATGAACAGAGAGGTGAGAGGGACACCAGGATGCACAAACAGCAGGAAGAAGGGCACAGGGAGGGAGTAGGGACACAGCAAGGCAGCCGGGAGGAGGAAGGCAGGGTCCAACCCACACCCTTGGGACTCAGGGCCGCCAGGAGTCCAGTTTGACAGGAGGGAGAACAGGGCCAGGCAGGTGGGCTGAGAAGCCAAGAGAGGACCCTGCCATCTGTCTGAAGTCAGAGCAGGAAGAGAGAAAGGGCCGGGTTTGGGGGCGTATTGGACTTACTTGTACAGGGCTGAACGATTGTGGGGAGAGAGGGTTTGCTCGGAGGGACGACCAGGAACCAGGACAGCCACATCCAGCAAACGCCGGACAATCAGCTGCGGCTGCAGGAGATACTGACACTCATCCTGGAGACCCTGGGACAAAAGCAGGGATGGTGGGGAGGCGACAAACAGCAGGCGCTATTAAACCAAGGCAAACAGGAGCTGTTGGGAGGGGCCGGGAGAAAGCCTCCAGCCCCGGCCTGGGGCCTCTCTCAGCTCAGGACCCTGCCTGCCTGAGCAGTCATCTCTGGTCATCTCCACACTACCCAGGTCTGCGTGACCTGCTGCGAGCCTCAGCATCGGGATTTCTGAGACTAGAGGCTGCTGTTCACTTACGGGGTTGTTCTGACCAAGGCAAACCCCCAAATCCTGCTCTGGAATTAAAGTCCCAGGCCCTGACACCCCCCGCAGCTCCACTCCATGGAACGAGCCAGCCACGGCACTGACCAGCAAAGCCCCACAGGCTGGAAGGAGGACCCGGTAGGTGCCAGGCCAGAAGAGCTCAGTGCCCCCTGCCTGGGATCTCCCTGTGTCTCCTGCATCATTGCCTCCCCCACGCCTAGAACAGCACCTAGCACCCAGTAAACTGCCACTGCATTAAAGAAGGGACACCTTTCAGAGAGCTCCTGAACCAACCTGGGTGCTTTCTACCTCTGATGTCGAAAGCCGATGTCCCTCACCTTTGGTGTCAAACTGTAAAAGAGAAAAATACTCTAACAAGTCGTTCCATGGACCTCAGCGCCTAAGGCGAGGATCACAAGAATCACCTTACGGTGAATGAGTCCCAGGAGCAGAGGCTCCCGCTCCAGAGGTGGCCCATTTCCTCGCCAGACCACCCGGGGAAGAAACACCTCGTCCACGACTTGCTTGCTGTTGGTTTAACTACAGGATCAGCACGCATGCCCTCTCTGGTTAGGGCGTGCTCCTTCCTTCAATTCTGTGACAAGCACATCCAGCCCCTTCTTTAATGAGGAGGGAGTGTCCAGTTACAGAGCCCGGGGAAGGAGGAGCGGGGTGTGGCAACCTCCGTCCCGTGATGAGGTCAGAGAATGGGCACCAGAAGTCAGGTGCTCTAGAGCTTCCAAGGCAGAAGTCAAGTGGGAGAACCCAAGGCCAAGGCAACTTCCGCAGCCACAGGAGGAATGCAGCCGAAGCACAGGAGCCCAAGAACCAGGAGAGTCAGAAATGAGAGGTGTGTGGGAGGCAGCAGGAAAGATCCTGGTGTGCGAGGCAGGCAGCTGCACTCTTAGCCTGTCCTCCTTGGGCTAGCCTGGGCTTCTTTAGAAAGGACAGGGCAAGGGGGACAGTGCAAGCTCCAACTGGGCTTGCAGACTCAAGAGGCCTGATGACACAGACCTTCTCTGTAGGAGCAGCTCAGAACTCACACAACCCCTGCCCAACCGTCAGCACTGATCAACAGAGGAGTGCTGGACAGACTGCAGAGGGCCAGCGTGGAAGCCGGGAGACCAGGTCCGTGGTGGCCCCAGAGAAGGCTGAGAGGAGGGGAGGGTGTGCCCAAAGTGCAGATGAAGAGAAGGAGACGCACTCAAGGCATGGTCTAGAAGTGGAGCCCACAAAACTTTTCCTTTATGGAATGGCTCTGGGGAAATAAGGGGAAAAGAAGAATTAAGGATGAGACTTAAATTTGGGATCTGAGCAATTGCTAGATGACAGTACCATTTACTGAGAAAAAGATTCGAGAAGGACGAGGCGTGGACTAGGAGAAGTGAAATGCGTACCATGGAGTTCCACACTTCCACCTTTGTTTAGATTTGGACGTACTGAGCTGGAGACATTTCTCAGACATCCAACTGGATATGCCAAGCATGCAGTTACAGTCTGAGATTTGTGGAAAGTGGGCCTGGCTGAATACCTGGCTGGACGCCAACTCCTACATGGTACAGCGCTACAGACACCAAGCAAGAGAGTGGGAAAATTAGACAGAAGCTGTCCCGGGACCAAGCATTAAGTCACTATAATCACCAATCGAACAGAGGAGAAGCCAGAAAGCAGACAGGGGAGGAGTGGACGGTGGGCAGAGAGAAAACCAGGAGAGTCTTGTAAAGTCACAAAGGCCAAGAGGAGAAAGTGTTTCAAGAAGGAAAGAGTAATACAAGGAGCTGGTTAACAGCTAGTTGCTAGTTAACTCCCGGGAGGGAACTGGGGACTGGAAGGGAAATGGGAAGAAGACTTACTTTTCACTGTCTGCCTTTCGTACCTTTCGAATGCTGTACCAGGTGCTTATGTTACCTATTTAGAATATAAAACAAAATAACTTAGAAGGGGGGGAAGCAGCAGCAGCACCATTAGCTGATTTTAACTACTTTAGCTGAGCTGTTGAGTCATGATTGGTCCTTCTAGAAGTACAATCTGTTTCTTTGCTTTCTTCCTAGTTGTTTTCATTCTTTTACTTGCTTTTGTTTACTTTCAAATCTTAGACCTGGAAGAGGACTCATTCGAGAGAGACCTGTGGGCCACCGTTTGGGAGGACATTTCCCTTACGAGCCATTTGGGTGCCAGCTGGTATCTGGCAGTCCCCTCAGCACAAGCTCCAAGATGAGAACCGGCAAGGAGAAGGCGGCGGGAGGACAAGGAGTGGCTGGTAGGAAGCAGTGTACAGGACAGGAAGAGAAATGAGATCAGTCTGGGCTACTCCAGTCTGAGCAGGTGTCAGAAGGCAACAAAAATCTGCCACGGTTCACCATGTGTCAGGCTCTAGGCTGAGTGCTAGGAACACACAGCGAGGAACACAGACACAGGGACGCGAGCCCAGGAGAGGCACGTGGACCAGGTAAGTCACTTCCCTGCTACAGTCCCTCAAGGCTCCTTGTCACCCTCAGACTTCAGTTCTAACCCCTAAAGGCCCTTAATGATCTGGCCTCTGCTCACCCCTCTACTTTCCTCATGTACCACCCACTACCCAGCCCACACTGAACTACCTCTGTTCTCCCATCGAGCCTTTGGCCATGCCACTCTCACACCCAGAACGCCTTTCCCTGTCTCCTCAACTCCAGGCCTCACTGCCTAGCAGTTCCTAATTTCACTGCCACCATACTCCCAAGCCGAGCCATCTCTCCTAAAGACGAGGGGCTACAGGAAGAGCTGAGCACATCCCCAAACCTGAGGAAGGCCCTAGAAATTGCGCTGCCTTCTTATCGCTAGTACTCATTAGCATGAGTCCCCACCCAGTCCATGAGCCCACATAACACCCCATGTTTGTCAAGCCCTACAGGAAATCAGAAGCATAGTACGAAGAGGAAACAACTTTGGAAGAAGGAGGAATGCCCGGACAATGAACCATAGGCTTGAGTCTCAGAAATTAGCCAGAGTCGGGATTGCTGAAGACTTGAATTCCGAGTAGTGCCATATGATTCCAGGTGGGGATCAAATTCTTAGGAGCAGACAGAAGATCTCTCTGGAACAAGCCTGACTGAAGAGCTACATCCCGCATGGTATCCAGGCAGGCTGCTACTCACCAGCAAGGTGGAACCGTGCCCTTCTGAGTCTTACCTAACCCCTGGGGAGCTCTGGGCTGGGGCTTCCCTTGCAGTACCAAGTCCCCCAGGTCCTACTTGCTGTACTAGATATAAATGGTCAGGTCAGGCCTGGCTCTTCGCTCACTGCCCAGATCCCTTTGGTCTGAGCACTCTGAATCACCCTTCAGGTTCTGAGCAGACTTCCTCTGTGCTGTCCTGACTCCCCATTGTCACAACGTGACAGCCATGAACAACTCTGACCACTCCCAACCAGGCCTCAGCTCCCACAGAATCCCAGCCCAGGCCTAGGCCTCCTGCTCGCCCAGAAATGTTTTCAGGAACTAGAGCAGTGCTCCAGCAGCAGCCTCCCTGTCAGCTCTCACTCAGTGAATTCAGCATTTGAGCTGGCATCGGGGGCAGGCTCTTTGGGATCTGGCCCAAGACCTGTGAAGACATTCCTCCTCATAGAGGAAAAAGAGGCCTTTGTTCTGACAGTAGTCGAGGCCCACCCAGAACCCAGAGCCTTTTCCTACCTGCTCTCATCCAGGGGGTCCCCTGGTCTAGACAGAGAAGTCTCTTGTATGAGGATTTTCAAAAAGCTCATGGAAAATGCATATTATGAAAAAATTATGCATGGATTTCAATTTTTTGCACCAAAATAAACTTTTTAATTCCATTTTCGTTGAAGTTTTTGACGTGTCCTCATACATCACTCTCAAGAAAAACAGGTGTGTTACTATGAAGACCTCCAGAGACTAACTCAGTCCTGGTTCTCATCTCTGCCAATGGCAGGGCCAGCGCACCTGTCCCTGTGTGATTCCCCATGCAAAGGCAATAGGCAGCACCTATTCTGAACACTGGACTACAGAAGGAGGACAAACGCGAGCCTGACGTAGGCCCAGAGTCCTCATCCTCAGGGAACTCAACAGGGAAAGAGACATCTGAGTCAAATTTTCTGACTGGAAGGTTCTGTCCTGCTGAATTCTCAATGACCAAACTATATTCTACAATGTCCTATTCCTGAAGTCCTTGCTCTGCTCATGCAGGGTCCTTCACCCTCACCACGGCCCCACATAAATGGCCACCCCACGCTGACAATGGCCTGCTCATCACACCTTCCCTTCCCACCACTGAACAGGAGTGGGAAACCCACAGATCCCCTCACTACGAGGAGGAGGTCTGGCCTAACACATGAGATTACCAGGAAAACATGGTGACACCTCCTTCCTATCCAACCAGAGAAGCCTCCTAACCTTGGAACCTGCCTTCAGACTTTAACAACCTCCACCCTAGGAAAACAGTGCTGAGAGCTTCAGGGAAGGGAGACGACAGTCGAGATGGACACCAGCTGCCCAAAGCATCCCGTGAGCGGGAAAGGGCTTCTCTTCCGGTCTGCTGTAGGGTTGTGGGGAGCTGTCTGAAATCAGGAAGGGACAGGAATATATCCTCCTAGATGGACTAAAGACTGGGTGGTAGAGCCTTCAGGTCTATCGGGGCTGTCACCCACCAAGATGTAGAACAATACCAAGCCTGGGTTTATATAACACATGGATCCATCCCCGGCTCACTTTGGACCATCTGGATTAACCCTGTGCCTTCCAGCAGGAAGGGACACTATTCTCCAGTCTGCCAGAAGTCTCTGATTCCAGACTCCGGGCTTTCCCTTCAGCTTACCTGGACCCTCCTATGTTCTCCCAGGGCTCCCAAGTTGCCGCCTGAAGATCGTGGCCTCTGGCCCACCAGGGGACCTGCTGGCCTCTAGTCACGCCTCACCCCAGCCACCCTCGTGCTGTTGCCCGCCCTGGACAATGCTGGTATCCCAGGCAGCCTGAGGGGGAATTCAGCAGAGATGGAAAGGCAGCTCTGGCCCTTCCAGCCCTGGGCGCTTCCACCCACCTTGACAGAGATGTGGCCGTGGGCCTGGGGAAGGTGGGCAGCCAGGAACCAGTCCCCAGGTAAGGGGCTGCTGACGTTAAAGATGCCTGAGGTGCGGTTGGGCAGTGTCCAGCTGAGGGTCAGTGAGAAAACCCCAGGCACAGCTGTGTCCCCTGGGAAGTGTGTATGTAGAGGATTGATGACAGGGGGTGCTCCAGACCGGAAGTACCTGGGGGACCAGAATCAGGAGAGGAGGAAAACAGGCAGTGGGGTGGGAGACGAGAAACAGAGAGAAGAAAGGAGAACAGTCATTCATCACCAGTAAAACAAGTGGATTCCCATACCAACACATATAACAAAGTGGTTCCAGGTCAGGGGTCAGTCCATTGAGGTGAGAAGTCATCTCAGGCTCTCACACAGTTATACAGTAGTCAGGAAGTGGTCAGGTGACAGAGGTCATGGCCCGCACTCAGGCACCTTTCAGTCTGGACAAGGGTCAGGGTCAGGGGTCAGTTTAGACACTCAAAGTCACATTTGGGTTGGGAAGAGGTCCGGGTTGGAAGTGGGGACTGCAAGGTTACCTCAGACACTCACACAGTCACACTCTGGTCTGGGCAGTGGTCTCCAAAGGTTCCCCCCTGCTCCTTGAAGATGATGAGGTTCCAAACAGCCAGGAATGTGTCCTCGGGAATATGGAAGTGGAAGAGCTCGGTGCTGGCAAAGGAGCGGAAAGGGCTCAGCTTGCGGGGTGAGCAGGTGGAGTAATCAGTCAGGAAAAGGCCTCCTGGGACGCAGGGGAAGAGAAAGGCACGGGTGGGACAGGGGCACTTCCCTTAGGCCACAGGCCTGCCAGCCTTCCTCACCAAGGGCAGCAGCTCCACCCATGCTCTCCGCTGGGCAGGAGCTGGGGCCTGTGCTGCCCGCCACCACCTGGCTTCATCCTCACGGTGGCCTTGTAAAAATAAAACTCTTTCCACAGATAAGGAAACTGGCGCTCAGACTTCAACCAAACTTCAGATTTGTCTAAAGCCAAACTCGGGACCTTTTAAACAAGCTCACAGCCATTCTCTCACTTAAGAGTCATTAAATAAAAGTTAAAAAAAATTTTAAAATAAAGGTGACTAATACAAAAAAAAAGAGTCTTGTTCTGTTACCATGTCTAACAAAACAGAAATGTGGGAGGTGTGTGAGTGTGTGAGTGCGTGTGAGTGTGTGTGTGAGTGTGCGTGTGAGTGTATGTGAGTGTGCGAGTGCGTGTGTATGTGAGTGTGTGTGTGAGTGCATGTGTGTGAGTGCATGTGTATGAGTACGTGTGAGTGTGAGTGCGTGTGTGTGTATGAGTGTGTGAGTGTGTGTATGAGTGTGTGTGAGTGCATGTGTATGAGTACGTGTGTGAGTGTGTGAGTGCGTGTGTGAGTGTGTGTATGAGTACGTGTGTGAGTGCGTGTGTGTGTGAGTGCATGTGTATGAGTACGTGTGTGAGTGCGTGTGTGTGTGAGTGCATGAGTACATGTGTGTGTGTGTGTGTGAGTGCATGTGTATGAGTACGTGTGTGTGTGTGTGTGAGTGCATGTGTATGAGTACGTGTGTGAGTGTGTGTGTGTGTGAGTGCATGTGTGTGTGTGTTGGCAGGGGCTCCTAAGCCACTGAGCAGGCTAGAACTCCACCTGTGGGGCGCAGGAGCCAGCATGGCACTGTGTAACTTCCTTGTTTATTTTCTTCCCCTTTTCTGTCCCTCTGCGGGCTGAAGCAGCAGAAACCCTCAGAAGCTCCACAAGAGCCGTCTGTGTACCGGCGCAGGGCAGGAGCGGGAGGGGAAAGTGTGGTGAGGCTGCCAGGGCCTGCTTGGGTGGCAGAGGCAAGAACAGGAGCCGGCAGGCCACCGCGAGAGTCCCCAGGAAAGGAGGAAAGAGAGGCATCGGGCCCTCTGGGGTCAGAGGGAGCAGCCAGGGGGTGTTTCCCCAGAGGAGGCCCCCATGAGGCAGTCAGCTGGTGACCCCGTGGGACTATTCAGAGCAGGCCGGGCTAGGAAGAGGGGAGGAAGTGGCCATCTCTACCTGAAATGCCGCGATAACTGGCCATGACTGTCAGGCACAGAGCCAAGGTGAGCAGGAACACCGTGTCAGCAGCGAGCCGGGCAAACACACTGCAGCAGTGAGAATGACCCAGTAGCTTATCTGGATGAGGGAAGAGGCCCCCAAAAGCAGGCAGGTTCCCCAGAGTGAAGCTTGGGAATCTAGCTACTTACACCAGCACACCCTCAGAAACACCCAGGGGAGCGCCTCCAGGCCAAGTGACAACTACCTGCAGGACAGGTTAAGGGTCAGGCAGAGGAGACACTGAGCTGGGGAGTCTTTTTGCCAAGCAGAAAATACCCACGGGACTTACTTAGTCTGACACCTTCAACTCTGGATATGGGAAACATGACTCCCAATGGGAGTAGCTTTCAGGGAGAGGGTGGCCCCACTGAACTGGAGGAATCTCAAGAATCACCCTCCAGAAAGCTGCATGACACAGGCAGGAGCCGTCGGCCATAGGCTGGGCTGTGTTCATCTTCAAAATCCACTGTTATACCCAAGGAACAGTCTGTCCAGTTCAGACCACATGATCAGTCTCAGCTGTCAGAATCCAGCCACCTTGCAAGCTGAGCTGTGCCTGGGATCCCAGAGAGATTCATAGAGCAGCTTCCAGAGATCAGAGGAGACACACCCAAGAAGGATGAAGGGAAAAGGAACCAACCAGATGGGGGAGACAGGTTTCCGGAGAGCCCTGACCATCACAATGGGAGGCAGAAGGCCAGGAGAACAGCCTGGACACAATGGTTACAAGAATTCCGAGCTCTGGAGCTCCCTCTACTGGGGTTAGCGAAGGGCTGCGCTCCTCAAAGTAGGTCCCAGGGATGGGTCATCTGATCAGCCACAGCTCCTGCTAGGAGGACGTCGGTTGGCCCCTCAGTGAAGACCCTCGGGGAGAAGCAGCTGTGGACCTTTGGGAAACAGGGGCAGATAAGCACAAAGACCCCTGCAATCCATAGCACCGCGGAGAACTGGGGTCTAGCTAAGCCAGCCCTAGGTGGCCAGCACCTAGAGGTCACAGACTAGGTGAGTGGGGAAAGGAGAGGCCGGCAGCTGGGAACAATGCGAGGAACCTAGAAGAAGTTTTGAGGGCAGATGCTTGAGCAAGAGTGCCCGGCCCCCCTCACCCCAAGCTTTGGCTTGGAGTTGGAACAGGGCCTACCACAGCTGTGTCCCAGGGGAAGCATGACAAGGCCTGGCCAAGTTCAGACAGACCTGTCCTGAATGCCCCAGTACTGCTATGATGAAGTTACGGTGATTCCCTAATACTATCCAAACCACCCCTTTACAAACACACACACACACACACACACACACACACACACACACAGGTTGAGGCAGACCCAGCTACTGATAGCACTAGGTAGAACAAAAGGTCATTTCCTGGAATGGAAAGGCATGCCTGGGTTATCAACCGGGCAGATAAGCCCAAAGAAAAGACCCAACAATCAGGGATGGAACCAGGAGATCCAGGAGGTAACTAAAATGAGATCAAGGCAACAATAAGCATTTGTGCAGTTGTATGCTGATGGTCCAATGACACTGCTGGCCCCTCCTCGGGCAAACCTATCACGGCCACTAAGTACAGAGCACCCCTCAAAGGCACTGGCTCTGTTCTCATCAGCCCTGCCAGCCACTGGGCCTAGTCGATGCTCTTTTCCAAAGTCACTGCAATTCTCCCCAGAGCACCTGCTCCTGCTCCTGGGCAATCCGGCTTTGATCCCCAACTTTCAGTTTCCTGTACTCTGGCTATCAGTCACCCTCTTCCCTAGCCACGCACTCAGTGCAAGCTCAGTGGGCTCATGAGCCAAGAAGCCATGATGGCAAGGATGGACGCTATGAACTGGCCTCAACAATATGGCCTCTTCCTCACCAAATCTGAAAATCTGATTGTCTGCTGCCTCTGCTGAGTGCCCAACCTACCAGCAGCAGTAATTAACACCACACTCCCCCACTCCCGCTCCTCCCTTCAAGGAGAAGGGCTGGCTGCAGATGGAGAACTTGTACCAGAGGACTTAAGAAAGTTTGTAGAAGATGGAATTAAAAGATAAGTTTCTTTTGGTGCAAAAAATTTTGAAATATTTGCCATTTTTTCATAATATACACTTTCCATGAATTTTTGAAGACACTTCATATATGATTTCAATGTTTTTTACACCAAAATAAACTTACCTTTTAATTCCATTTTCCCACAGACTTTTTGAAGTACCTTCCATATACACTATTGGAGGCACCCCACACCACCTTCAACCTTGAAACTCCATTTCTGAAGGTAACACTTCAGTGATCCGTCCATTTGAGGAACAGGCTGAGCTGAAGTGAAATGTGTGTTGGCCACGACATATCCCTTCCCCTCACAAAATAACCTAGGCATCCAGAGGATACCTTGGCTCACACACAATATCCGTGTGCCCACAATCACCAACACACAAGCAAGTGCACATGCTGTACATGCCCGTGTTTCCACAGATCCCTCGGACACACACAGACATGTAAGTGTCCAGATGCCTCTGCAGGGGCCGTGACCTTCGATGGGCACTCATCTCCAGGCCCCTGGAGCTCACCCAAACCCAGCCCCACCCCTCTGTTAGCTGCTTCTGCCAAAGAGACCATCAGACACTTCTCCATCCTAGCTGAGGGCCACCTGCAGAGGTGGCTGCGGAATGGGGCTGTGAAAACCACAGTCATTTCATGGTGGGGCCTTGGAGCAAGACTCGCTCCTCCTCCCACATTCCAAGAAGTTGGGCCTCTCCCTGTCCCATCCAAGTCACTTCCTCCCTGGAGGGTGGCCCTAGGCTGACACCTGGCCAACGAGGAACAGTTTGTGGATGAAGCCTCCTTGTGGGCAGACTGGGGAGAAGAAAGGTTGTGCGTGGAGTGTTTCTCCACTTGGGTCTGTTTCACAATTAGGCATCTATTGCAGTGGGAACACACACACTCACACACACACAGAGACACCCTTTCTCTAGCCCCAGCAATGCCACTTACAACCTGTAAACAAACTGCTGGCTCACTGAGCCTCAGTTTCCCCATCTGTAAAATGGTCTCTGAGCATCCACTCTGCTGTAAAATGTATCAGGAATTTTCCCTAGGCAAACCAAAATTCTTCAAAACAAGAGCCACTGCAAGAAGAAAACTCATTATAATGGCAACGAATCCATGCCCATCTGTTACCTGTTATCTTCTAAACTGTTTTTTCTGAACCCTGCTTGAATGCATGCCCAATATTGCAAAGCTTTAGACTGTATTTTTGAGAGAGGCCGCAAGGCCACGACTTCCCTGAGGGAAAAAAAAGAGTTAAAGTGGGATCACAACAGACACCAGGAAAGAAACCCTGGAGTCTATCAGCCACCTGCTGGGCCTCAAACCCAATTACCCTTCTTTTGAGTCTGTGGAATTCCCCCTGGATGGAAGACTTCGCTCCTCCCTCTCCCCCCACCCCCTTCTCCCAGAGATCCGGTTCCCCAGCTCCTGAATCTCTCCAGCCCACCCACTCCTGCCTGATCCCCCTCCCTGCTGGCAAGCTCGCCTGCTTCTGCACTCACCGGCCCCTGGGCCAAGGACAGAGAACAGCAACAGCAGCAATAGGGCTGGCGGGAGCTGGGGCCCAGACCTGAGTCGAGGCTGGGAGAGGGGCAGAGTATGAGAGAGAGGGGGGCCCGGTGGGAAGGACTTGGGCAAACACAGAGAAGCGGGCAAAGGCTGGCACAACGGGTTGGGCTGGGCTGCGTACCGGGGCTTGAACAAGGGCAGGGAGTGGGATGGAAGAGGAGGCTGTGATAAGGGCGGGAGCGAGGGCTGGGGCTGGGCCAGGGGCTTAAGTAAACACTGGCCACCGGGCCGGGACAGGAGCTGGGCTGGGCTTTGTGCCAGCGGATGGAACAAGGGCCGAGGGAGGGATGAGGAGAAGGCCAGCGGCAGGCACTGGGGCTGGAGAGGGGGTCTGGGTTGGAACCCGGACCTTGGCATTCGCAGGGATCCCGACCAGGGCTGGGACCGATTTGGGACGCGGGTCGAAGGCGGGGCCGGAGGCCAAGGCCAAGATTGGGATAGGACAAGGGGCCGCGACAAGGGCTGGGCCATGGCCCGGGGCGGGGGCGGGGCCGGACAGGCCAGCGCGGGGCGCTCGCAGAGCTGACCCGCGGCTCCGCTCCCCACCCCTGCGGGGTGGCCTCCGGTGTCCTCGCGGGCCCGGGGCGGGGGTTCGGGACCTGGGTGGGAGTTCAGGCCTGGGCGACTCCGGGCTGCGCTGAACCGGCGATAACCAGGCCCCGCGGCGGCGGCGGCCTGGGCCTGACGTAGGCGTGACGCTCCGCCCCCGACCTGTTCGATTGGTCCCTGTCATTGAAGCCCGCCCCCTGCCCTATTTTATTGGTCTCTAACTTCGTCCTGCGGGGTTTCGCGGACAGACTCCGCCCCAGTCCCAAGCCACCTGAGACCCTGTCTTTCCCACCCCAAACACAGAGCCTCAGTGCCCTCCTCAAATCCTCACAGCCCCCGCTGGCCGCCCCACAGAGGGCTCACAGGAGCTCTACGGAGACCCTCCCAGACCCAGTCTTCCCACAGGCGTACCCACAGATTTTTCGCAGCTCCAACCCCAGAGACTCGCTTATGGAGATCCCACAACCCACCCTCCCCCCCTTTTCAGACATGAGCCCTCTGGGTTCGCCCCCTCCAGGCCCAATGCAGCTCCCTCATCAGGCCTCACCCACCAACCGAGTGACCAGACTATTGTTGCCATGGAGACTGTGGGCGTTCTGGTCGCCCCGGTGACCGTCACCTCTTCTCCCAGCCTGGGTTCTAAAGGCGTCAGTCAAGGCCCTCCCCTATCGGCCCTAAACCACAACTGCCCCTTCCTGCCCTTCCCCAAGTCGGATCCAAGGAGCGCCTTTGCGAAGTTCTGCAGATGCCCAAATCCTCTCCCCAAATAGTTCCAGGCCAGACCGTTCACCGCTCAGCACCTGCAGGCCTGGCTCATTCACACTTGAGTCTCCCCAGGCCTCAGCTCTCCCCTTCCGGTCCTAAGGCAAGAGCCTGACCCAAGGACTTGCAACAACCAAGCCAAAGGTATGTAGTTTCCCCCTCCTAATGTCTCCTGTCCTCTGACACCCCTCAATCTAATTCCCTCTCAGTCTCCACGGGTCATCCTTAGGCCTCTGCCACTATTCCCTCCGCCCATCTCTCCCCCTTCTCTTCTGATCCTCTGGTTCTCTGTTCTCAGAAGACTTTTCCCTCTAGGTTGGTCATCTTCCTTCCTCTGCCTCTGCCTCCATTCCCAAACTTCCCCTTCAGAAGGGGTCTGGTGAGCTTCAGAAGTGAAATATCTAGTGTCAGGAGCATGGGGAAAAGTAGGGAGCAGAGAAAGTTAAGGCAAGGATTCTCAAGCAGTGTTGCAAATGGCGACAAGCCTTGACGGTCACGGCCAAGAAATTTGGACTTAACCCTTTAAGGCTGAGTCACTGAATACTTTTAAACAAGGCAAGTCCTGTGCTGGGTTTGCGTTTTAGAAAAATCTCGATTGGATCGGGAAGGAGGGCTGTTTCTTTTAGACACCCTTCTAGAATAAATTGGGCATATTCCTTTCCCACAGCACCTGGGCTTACCCCAGCACATCAGCCTATTTGTATTGTTATTGTTAGTTAACCCATCTCTCTCCCAAACTCACCCAAGTCCAACACATAACATGATGCCTGAGTAAGAGTGTAGGATCAGACTCTTTGTATAAATGTGAATGACATAAATAAATGAGAGAACTGGTGAGTGGATTAATATGCTGGGCATGGCAACAGAAAGGCAAATTTATCATACAATCCAGGCAAAAGGTGTTGAGAACTTGAGCAAAATTGGAGGCAAAGGAGAGGAGAGAATGCATTTGGGAACTATCTAAAAGACAGGAAATATGGCTCTTGACTGTCACTTCAAAATAAGCACTAATTCCCAGCGTTCAGTTTGATGCCCCTGGGACGTCCAGTTAGAAATATCCAGCAGGCAGTGGGCTATAAGTGTGAAATGCAGGAGTTTAAAAAGGTCTGGGCTGGAAATGTGGGTGTAGAAGTTATCGGCACACAACTAGAAGTAACTGAAGCTCTGAACACGAATGGGTGTGTGTGTGGTCCGTAGATAAAACCAAGCTGTGAGCAGGGTGCTACCTTATGCATCCTGGTAGTCTCCAGTGTGCTCAAGGATCAACCTCAACTTTCCTTTGGTATTCCCAGTCTCTGGAACTCCTCCATAACCTTTTCTCCAGGGTCCTAAGACATGCCCAAGGCCCTTCTCTTGGACTGGCCAAGTAGCTGTGTTCTGAATTCCTCCTGGGGAATGGGGATTCTGACTGCTTCAGCCTTGCTTTCTTTACGTTCCAGCTCCTTAACCACCCACAGTGGCATGCCCATGAGGTCTGTGCGTATAAGTGAACCTTCTGGCATCACATCCTGAAAGCCAGAGCTCATCTCACTTTCCTCTTGTATCTCAGACACACTGAGAACTTTACCCTAATTCTGTGACCCACTGTGATCCCTGGGCGCTATCTACCTCGATTTACAGGCCCTGGAGTCCCAACCTAATGAAGCCTGTACCCTGTTCTACCACTAGATGGAAGCAGACGAGGCCACAGAAGAGACTCATACCACCATGGATGCAGAACTGCACCCCTCTTCAAAAGACCCCCCTGTTGAAGATTTACAGGCGCCCCCCTTGGAACCGTCCACCCCTGAGGCTGCTTTAGAGCCTCAGGCCTCTCAAGACATTTTTGTGCCATCCCCTGCCCAGACCCCCTTAGGGTCACATAACTCTGAGTCCCCTTCGGTGCCATCCCCTGCCCAGACCCCCTTGGAGCCCCATGCTTCTGAATCTCCCTTGGAGCCTGCCATCTCTCACATCTCTTTACAACAGGCCATCTCTGAGGCCCCTTTGAAGACCCCGACCTCTGAGACCCTACTGGAGACTCCCATCTCCAAAGTCCCAGATAAACACCTTTCTTTTCAGCCCTCATCAGTCATTCATGTCTCTGGGTCTTCCTCTGAGGTTTTGAAGGAAGGTTCCCTCTCTGAGCCTTCTTCCAGTGAGATCTCACGAACAAGGAGGGCCACCCAGGTCCCTGAAGTTGAGCACCTTCCAAAGCACTCCCTTCCGGGCCCTTCAGCCCATTTCTACACAGTCACATCTGCAAAGCAGAAGGATGATGCCGAAGAAGATGAGGAGGGAGAGGAAACCAGCGACGCCACTGCTCACACAGCCCTGCCTGGACACCAGACGGGCAAGAAGAAGGCAAAGAAAGAAGTTATCTGTAATTGTCCACGCCCTTTCTCCTGTTCTCTGCCCACTGTCCTCAACCTTCCCCAGAAGGAGGGCACTGAGTTACTCTTAGACGTGGTCCTTTCTCTTAGCTTTAGGGTCTCCTCACTTCCTCCCGGTTACACAGCCCCTTCCTTCCCGTGTTCCACAGGCCACCCTGTGGACCCTGCTAATCAGGCAGAGTCGGTGGAAGCAGCTAAGACAATGCACAGAGAGCAATTTGGTACTCAGGTGAACTATGTTTTCCAATGGGAGAAGAATGCAGCCCTGAATGCCATCCAGTCAGGTGAGCCCAGGGAGCCTTTCTGAGGTCTGTAACAAGTCCATGGACATCCTCTAATGCAACAGGACCTAGGAAACCTCGTGGAAACAGCATTGCCACCTGTGTAGAATCTGGAAGGGGAGTAGGCAGGCAGGTCAGGAAAAACCACAGTGGTGCTATTCATAAAAAAGCCCAGGTAAGGATGAGTGGCTGACTAGAATTATTAAAAGTAACAGGGCCCAGACAGCCTGTACAGTCAGCTCTAAGGCAGACGTGGCCCAGGGCACTCTCCAGGAGACTTGTTATGACATGGCAAAGGGCCTTGGTCCCTTGGGTGAAACTCCTTTAAAATGTTGTCAACCCCAGGAGCTAGCATTGTGGTGCAATGGGTCAAGCCAACACTTGAAATGCCTGCAGCAATATTGGAGCGTCGCTCAAAGTCCCGGCTAATTCACTTCCAGTGCAGCTTCCTGTTCATCCATCCTGGGAGGCAGCAGGTTATGGCTCACATGCTTGGGCTCCTGCTGCCCACATGAGGAGACTGAGATGGAGTTCCTGGTTCCTGGCTTTGGCCTGGCTCAGTCCCTGCTATTGCAGGCTTTTAGGGAGTAAACCAGCAGATGGAAGGTGTCTTTCTCTATTCCTATACCTGTGTCTTGTAGGTAAAAATAAATAACTAAACATTAAAAGGCTGTCACCTCTGCATCCCATGTCCATGATCATTTGAGTACCCAAAACCTGTGATTCTCCTCACCAAAGAGGAGAGCCACAAGGATTCTGGGATTTCTAGACTGAATTCCAAAGGTATCACTGCATTTATTTTGATCCTTCATACCTCCTTTCGCCTTAAGAAGGGAATAGAGCTATGTCAAAGGTCTAAGTTATAAACACACCTCGCTGATCCGATGGCAGGAGCCAGGTGCTTCTCCTAGTCTCCCATGGGATGCAGGGCCCAAGTACTTGGGCCATCCTCCACTGCACTCCCTGGCCACAGCAGAGAGCTGGCCTGGAAGAGGGGCAACCAGGACAGAATCCGGCGCCCCGACCGGGACTAGAACCCGGTGTGCCTGCACTGCAAGGCGCCGGCTGCAATAATTTACTTTCCCCATTCCTATGCAGGGACCCTCCCTCCCCCTCCACCTCTGGCCAAGAAAAGCACAATGAACTCATTTGTTTCTCAATTTCAATTTAGGCATTGAGGTGACTTTTTGCTCAGTTGCACATCTTCTATCACTCTGACTTAGTTTCTTGCAAATTCAGGGTCTCTTCAGTCCCTCATTCCCCTTCTCCAAACTTACCTACTCCTCAAGGCCACTGCATTCTCTTTTCTTCAAATTGAACTTCTTCATTTTCCTGTTTAAACAGGAAGTTTTATAGAGAAACTTAAGTGTCATTGAATCCCAAGCAGATATTTGGGGTCTGTTTCTAAAAGTGGGGGTCTTGACTCCCTGGAGAATCGGGACTGCATAACAGTATATGTGATGAGTAGAGAAATAGCAAGTGCATGCTTTTCATTTATCCAACAAAAATTTACTGGGCACCAACTATGTGCCAGGCACTGAGCTAGATGTGGAGGTAGTGGTGCTGGTGAGGTTTCAAAGACAAAATCTGTGATGACCCCAATAAGTAAAAGGACAATTACAATTCACCCTAAAAATTGCCATACTTGAGGTCAGCCCAGAAGTGCTCTGTGAGCAAAGAAAAGGAGTAAACAGGTGCTCCAGGAATAGTAGCCTTGGAAGGACTGACTGCTCAGCTGAGAGCCCTAAGATGAGTAAGAAGAGATGGCCAAGCAGAGTGGTGTAAGGTGAGACAGAACAAGCTAAGGTACCATAGAAAATTGTAGCAATGAACCATGCCCATGCCCAGTGCATAGGACACTGGGGGAATATCTCAGCTCAGCTCTGGAAGGGCAGAATTGTGCAGGCATTTCTTTTCTTCATTTTATTTAAAAGGCAGAGAGAGAGAGAGAGAGAGATTGATTTATCAATCTTCCATATGCTGGTTCACTTCCCAAATACCAACAACAGCCAGGGCTGGGCCAGGCCAAACAAAAGAGTCATCTAAGTCACCCATGTGGATGGCAGGATCCCAAGTAACTTGAGCCATCACCCACTGCCTCCCAGGGTGTGTGTTAGCGAGAAACTGTATTGGAAGCACAGTAGTCAGGCCCAAGCCAGATACTCAGATGTGGGATGCAGCCATCCTAAGCAGCACCGAGTGGTGACAAAACACCCACCCCTGTGCAGGCATTACCCTGCCAAGCTAAAGAGTTAAGGTTATATCCTAAGGGCAACAGAAAAGATTTAAACAGGACAATAACAGATTTGTATTTCTGAAAGATCATTCCTTCAATAAGATAGAGGAAAGAAAGACAAGACTGGAGACAGGGGCACTGCATTGTGAAGCACTGGAATAATCCAGGTAATAAATAGATGAATGGAGGTGGAGAGAAGTAGACAGATTCAAGAGATGCAAACAAGGCAAAATTGACCATCGGGTTGCTGGATGTGTAGGATAAGTAGGAGAGGGAAATGCCTGGGATGAAACCTAGGTTTGTGGCTTGAATAACTGATGGGTGATGATGCCATTAACTGGGTGCTCAAAACAGGGTAGATGCTTGGTAAGTATGTGTCAGATGAACAGGGGATATAAGACATTTATAAATATGTGTCTGATGAACAGAGGATATAAGACATTTGTAGTGTTGATGGGACATGCTGATGCAAGCCTTGAAGACAGAGCCCACACAGGTTAATGCCGGCTTCCCACTTCAGAGTGCTGGATGCTTTGCTACCTGGGAGGCAGCAGGCAGATGGTGGCCTAAGAACTTGGGATCCTGCCACTCATGTGGGAGACCCAGCTCCTGGCTCCAGCCTGGTTCAGCCCTGGCGATGGCAGCCATTTGGGAAGTGAACCAGCAGATGAAAGACCTCTCCCTCTCTTTCTCTCACTCTCCCGCCACTCCTTCAATATTACTTTTTCAAATAAATCAGTCCTTTAGAAAACAGAAAAGAATCTAGCAGACAGCTGGCTGTATGGATCTGGAGCTCAGAGGAGAGGTCTAGACTGGAGCGATCCTTCATGTAAAGACAGTTCTGTTGTGTAGACGTTGTGTGCATGAAGAGATGTTGAACTGGACTGTGTTTCAGAGATTCAGAATGCATCACAGATAATGTCTCCTCCCCTGCTAGTCCATATCTTCTTGTAACAGGAAGGCGATTTGGAGTCAGAACAGAGAATGCCATGTCCTATGCTGGAATCCACAGCCTGATGTCAACTGCCCGTTTCAGAGCCCTCACACTTGTAACTCCTATAGAGCCTGAGGTGTGGTTGCCAGTCTCCCTGCTTCAACTCCTCTTCATCTGAACACTGAGCACTGATTCCTACCCCAGTACTTGGACTGGACTCCCCCAGGCCTTTAGGCCAGGCCTTGATCTGTGGGCACAGTCCACCTTAATCCACAGACACTGAGCCTTGTTCACCTCTGTACCTCACCTGTCCATCCAGTGTGTCCCTCTACTCCAGCAGAGCTCAGAATTTCTCCAGTAGAATCCTGGCTCATGCTCAGACCATTGTGACTCTGCCTATACCCCGCCATCTCAACCAAACCTGCTCAGCATAACAGGGCACTGGCACCACAGCCCGAAGCCGCAGAGCCAAAAGACATTCACACAGGCTTTAGATCTCAAGAGACAATGGGTAAGACAAGAAAGTCTCATTGGAGGCCCAGAAGTATAGATTATGTCCTCTGGTCACAGACAAAAGAACACTCTTTCTTTCTCAGCTTTTTTTTTTTTTAAGATTTATTTATATATTTGAAAATCAGAGTTACACAGAGAGAAAAGGAGAGGCAGAGAGAGGTCTTCCATCCGCTGGCTCACTCCCCAGTTGGCCACAATGGTCGGAGCTGCACCGATCTTCCTGGCCAGGAGCCAGGAGCTTCTTCCGGGTCTCCTTTGTGGGTGCAGGGACCCAAGGTCTTGGGCCATCTTCTACTGCTTTCCCAGACCATAGCAGAGAGCTGGATCGAAAGTGGAGCAGCCGGGACTCGAACCTGCTACCCATAGGGATGCTGGTACTGCAGGTGGCGGCTTTAGCCACTACACCACAGAGCCAGCCCCTCTCAGCTTTTTTATGGAATTTTAGAGTTGTGCCAGAAATACTGGGTCTCTTTTCCCTGCTGAAGGAATTTGCTCAACTTGATTCATTCAGGAAGGCTACAGTCTGTGACACCTATCTTGTGCCAGGCCCTGTGCTGGGATTGGACAGAGAGCTGGAAAGACGGACCTTTTCCTCTAAGAATTCATTGACTAATTGGGAATATAAATGAACATTGCAATGCAACGAACTGTAGTGTGACAGGAACAGCGCAAGGAACTACAGAAGGCAAGAGAAGGGGCCCAGGGAGAAAGGCAAAGTCAGGGACAGTGCTTTGAAAGCGGTGACGGCTCAGTTGAGACTTGAAGTAGAGACAAGAGTCCAGCTACTGAACGACCCACTCCCTAGGGACTCTTGACTCTAGGGACACAAGATTCTTGGCCAGAAGTCGCGGTCTGAGGGGGAGGTGCTATTGGAGTCTCCCCCCACACTTACACAGCCCCATGGTGGCCTCGTGATGAGACTGGCCGGGAAACCAGACGGTTTCAGATCCCAGGGCTGACACCAGCCCTCCAGGTTGGTGGCCTCCTGCTGGTGCCTGCTCCCAGGGATACGGCTCATGCCTCCTTCCTGGCCTCACAACTGGCATGCTTTTGCTCTTCACTGTCCACAACTTCCGGCAGACCCCTCCTCCTGACCCCTGGAGAGCGGCAGGCAGGTTCACAGAGGGCATTCATTCACACCGGGGACACAGAAGGGCAGTTGGAAGGCACCTACCTGGAGAAGTGAGGAGAAGCTCTCTTCCCTCCCTCCTGGCACCAGGGCTGTCACTAGCCCCTCTCCGGGGGAGCCAGTCCCCACCTGCTGTGCCCCTGCACAATCGGCTCCCCTTTTCCTCAGCTGACACTTCCAGGATACAAAGAAAAGCTGGTCTCTAACGCAGTAAGGGGAGGAGTTGCGGAAGCCCATAGTCACAGAAAACTCAGCGAGTCACGTTCATCTCACACAAAGAGTCACCTACAATCGTCCTGCTCAGAAATGAAAGACGTGGGAGGGGTCCTGGGGGAGGAGAACTGCAGACACTTGGCGGGGTGGGTGGAGAGGGGATGAGAAAACCCAGCAGGGTAACAGAAGCATAAAGAGGAAGAGATGAGGACTCTCGGGGAGTCCGAGTGCTCCCAGCCCCCCGCGCACAGGCAGGTGACAGCGCCTGGGGACTGGTGTCCGGGATTGTTCTCCTCACTTTCTCTTCTCACTCAGTGCCTCCCCATCTAGGTCTGTACGTTGGCTGGCGCTGCCCCCATTACCTATGGGACTGTTTCCGGATTAGGGATGAATCCAAGTGCTTTTGTGGCCACCTGCTGAGAGAGCATCATGTCATCTCAGGTAGGGGAGATGGCCAGGCCCTGCCACATATGAGAGACTGTGTGTGCACGCGCATGTGTGTGTGTCTGTTGGCATGGGGTGGGGTGGGGTGGGGCACGGGAAGGCCAGGCCCCGGTCAGGTGCTAGACTTACCCTACCACCCATCTGCATTCCCACAGACATTTCTGTGCCCTGCCGCGTGAGCCAGTGCCGCTGCCTCATGTTCTGCTTTATCCCATCACGCCCAGAGGAGGTGGGTGAGTTCTGGCTCAAGAGACGGGCCACCTTTGACCCCAAGGCCTGGAGGGCCCAGTGTCGCTGCAAACACAGCCACGAAGACCACGCAGCCACCAGGTCCCATCCCTGCAGACATCCTGGTAACTCCTGGGGCAGGGGGACTGTCCCGGGGAGGGCTGGGACCGGTCATTTGGAGATGAGGATGGGGACCTGGGAGGAGAGACTTGAGCATGTGGGTGGCAAGGAGGGGATGGAGACTTGGCTCACGGGGACACCTCCACTTACGTTGCTGCTGTCTTGACGCAGGCTGTTGCTGCAACTGTTTTGAGTCTAATTTCCTCTGTGCGGCCTGTGACCGGCGCTGGGAGGAACACGAGACCTTCTTTGAGACTGAGGAGACCCGGCGGCGAGGAGGGAGACCTCATGGTGAGGGGGCAACCTGGCACAGGGGCCATTCCCGTGTCTGCAGTCAGAAGGCCGGGACACTCCCATCCTCAACCACCCCCACCACGATACCATACTCCCTCACCCCACATCCCATGCTGACACTGGTTTCCACCCCGGGAACAGACTGTGCCTGTCCTGTGAGAAGCCACCCCTAACTAACTTCAAGGCTCCACAGAGGTGGGGGCCCTCTGGCCACCCCAGATCCCACCCTAGTACCCCAGAGCTCCCTGCAGCATTGGGTCTGGCCCCACATCTGACCCCCATAACTGACCCTTTCACCTCTGTTGTCTCCTCCAGGGACACACACTGTCAGCAACTGGCGCAGGCCGATGTGAGCCTGGCCCAGACCAGCAATAAAGGGGAACCACTGGAATCTGACCTGGCTCTGTAATGGGGCAGGTAGAGCCCTGCCCAGGGACAGACACCCCAAGACCCTGAAGACAGCACCAAGCAGAGAGAGGCTAATCCAGCCATCTGCCCCCACCACCCCAACAGTCACGCTGCTGGCTCTGACATCCGGAGAGTAGCTTCAGTGAAGTCAAGGAGCCAGGGAGTTTCAAGGACAGAACAAGTGGTGAGGTTAGCTGCAGCTGGGGCTCCAGTCAGAGGGAGACTGGACAGCACCCACTGGGTTTTGCAATTAGGTCTTTGGAGACTGGCATCCGAGTGCAGTGAGTTTTGTAAGTTTTACGGACCCTCTTCAAGAAGCTTGGAAGAAAAGTCAGTAAGGAGGAAGGCATTACCCAGCAGGAGGTATGTAGTTAAGGAAGTGCTCTTAGAAATGAAAAGGGAGGCCGGCGCTGCGGCTCACTAGGCTAATCCTCCGCCTTGCGGCGCCGGCACACCGGGTTCTAGTCCCGGTCGGGGCGCCGGATTCTGTCCCGGTTGCCCCTCTTCCAGGCCAGCCCTCTGCTGTGGCCAGGGAGTGCAGTGGAGGATGGCCCAGGTGCTTGGGCCCTGCACCCCATGGGAGACCAGAAAAAGCACCTGGCTCCTGGCATCGGATCAGCGCGGTGCGCCGGCCGCAGCGCGCCAACCGCGGAGGCCATTGGAGGGTGAACCAACAGCAAAGGAAGACCTTTCTCTCTGTCTCTCTCTCTCACTGTCCACTCTGCCTGCCAAAAAAAAAAAAAAAAAAAAAAAAAGAAATGAAAAGGGAATGAGCCCCCCCACCCCAAAATCACCCTGAGGGCTAACAGAAGAGGAGAGATGCCCGGTGAGACAGGATCCCGGAGGTGGGGGCGGAGGGAGGCTGAGGCACAAGTGAAGGGGTTTGCTCTGGACAGGAGAAACACTGCTTCCTAAGACCAAGCGGGAAGAAGAAAGCCTGGGGCCTGCACCGGGCTCGAGGGGCAGGGTCTTGGGGACGTTCCCCTCCAGTAGCTTCTCTGTGTCCTGTGAAGCAGGCGTGAAGGTCGGTTGCTGGAAGCGGGGTGCGGAGGAGAGAAAGGTGAAGGTCTGAGAAGGCGAGTGTGTGCCGTGGGCGGCTGAGCGTTCAGGCGCAGCTGGCAGTGAGCACCCAGGGAGGGCAGCAGGGGAGCGAGCTCTCAGGCTGCTGGGTGGCACTGGGAGGACGATCAGGAGAGGCGGGCGGGAGACGTGTGCACACGATGTGGAAGGAGAGAAGGTGAATCCAGGAAGCAACTGACAGACCGCAAGAGGGGAGCAAAGTCTCCGGTGAGGTCCAGGAGCGGACATGGTGGCAGGGATTGAGGTGCAGGGCACGCAGTGGTCGGAGCCTGCAGCTTTCAGATGAGAGCAGCTGCCAGTGTGACAAGTGTGCGGGCCCCGGGGTCAAAATCGGCGAACGTGGGGGAGTGACTAGGAAGTCAGTCGGCAGAGGATTCTTACGGCAGGAGGCGCTCCTGGCACCAATTGGCTCGCACCCTAGGCAGACCCTCTCTGGGCCTCACACTGTCTGGATCTGTACAAGGACACCTTGTGTTGCCTGCTCTCTGTGAGAACCCAAAGAAAAAACTGGTCTCAGGGTGCTTTGTACTCACCCACCCCAGGCCTGGTCTCCTGCCGCTTCCTAGATGCCAGCTCCACTCACCTCTCACCCTTCTCCAGGCCACTGCAGGGCCTCTGGGGCACAGAGAAGGGGCCCCCTGCACTTCCTCCCAGTTGGGAGACCATCTGTCCTTCCGAGGGAAGGAATGCAGCCCGGACTGTCGGATCCCTGGGGGAAATCACAGGAGCAAATGCCTGCCCTGTGGAGAACACACTTTCTAACAGGATATACTCGTGTAGCCATACCAAAGGAGACCGTCCTAGCTGCAGAAGTAGACTTCTTTAACACTGGGTGAAGAGCGGCGATAACGTTCACCCAAAACTAATTCAACTAATCGTCAACAATAGAGGGTTACTATATGACAAACTCATGCAAGGAGATACTATACAGCCATTACAAACTATATTTACAGACTATGTAATGTGAAAAAAAAAGGATTATAAATGGGAGAATACAATATGCAATACATACTACTATATATTATGAAAATAAACGCAAGGAAACCAATCATTACTCATTCAATTATTTAGCACCTCAATGCGGGGCCTTCAAAAAATTCATGGAAATATCTATTACGGAAAAAACTGAGTGGACTTCAAAAACTTTTTGCACCAAAATGGACTTTTCATCGCATTTCCACGGACGTTTCAAAGTTCGTGTGTGTCAAGCTACGAGTTGAAATCAGCTATGGCGATAACGTGGAGCCTGTGTTAAACATCTAACTAAAACTTAGCTAATGTCTGAGCATATCAGTTTTGAGAACTCATGTTTCTTATGTAAAAAACATGCATTTCAGCTTAGCAACAGTGACTCCCTGAAAATGCCAGGCACTGAGTTAACCCTATCACACCTCCTTGGGTTAGAAAAGGACACTGGATACACTCTCATTAACAGCAGCTCAGCAGAGGGGCGCTCATGGTCATCCCCGCCAGTTAAAAAACAAAACAAAACAAAATGCAAAAACTGCCCTGAAAACTCCAGAATCTCATCTACGGAGTAAATGTGTTAAAATTAAGAAAGAATGGCTCTTCAAAGTCTCTGAAATGTTCAAAAGGCTGAAAACGCCTTTTAGATAAAACACTAGCCACCGGCCCCTAGCCAATGGGAAAAACGACCCTGTGCCTGTTCATCCTTAGCCCCGCCCTTCTGGTCCCTGCAGCCAATAAGCGCCGAATGCCCTCAGAGCCCCGCCCTCCTGCTAGCCAATGAAAAGGACGAGCCTCAAATACCTTCAGCCCTTTGTGTAGCAGGTGGAGGAGCTCCGCCCTCTTACCCCGAGCCCCCCCCCCACGGGGGCGGGGCCTGCGTAGGACGAGCCAAGGGCGTAAAGGCCCCACCCACTCGGGAGCCGCCGCAAGCTAAACTGACCCAATACCGTACATCAAGTCTGGCCCGGAGAAATGCCCACCTCCAGGCCCCTCAGCCCTTTCACTGAGTGGGAATTTGTCTCATAACGAAACTACTTAGGGCATCCGTGCAAAAAGACGAAACCAATAGAGTGGGAAACTAGTCCCGTGCTGGCAAAAAGCAATGGGACAGAAAGGTCCCGCCTCTAAACTGGCAGGGGAGCCAATAGGACGAGGAGTCCCCAGGAACGCGCTCCAATGGGGTGGCAGGCCTCGCCCCTGTCCGCGGACAGAGCCAATGGCCTCCGCTCGTCGGCCGCCGACAGCCCGCCTCCAGTCGGCCGCAAAGCCGGGTGCCGGCCGCAGCGGAAGGTTCCCGCGGCTCCGGGAAGATGGCGGCGGCCGCGGTGCTGGCCGCCGGGGTGCGCGCGGCGCGCCGGGCCCTGGCGGCTGCAGGGCCGCGGGGGGCGCAGGTGAGAAGTGACCGCGGGGGCGAGGAGGGGTCTTGCAAGCTCTGACGTCCTCCGGGGCCGAGAGATGCGTTCCTCCCGGCTCCCAAAGGCTGGCACAGCCCTGCAGCCAACGCAGGCCGTAGCCTGAGCGCCTGGCGGTCGTCGCTGCCCGTCCGAAGAGCAAAGTTCCGGGCCGTGCAGCGAGGTCGGACTAGGGATGACCGCCGTCTTGCACAGGCCCCGGGCACAGAGGTCGGGACGGGGTCCCTGCGGCGCCCGCTGCCTGGCTCTGCCTCCAGCCCATTTGGCCCTGCGCCTGCGCCTGCTCGGGGCCACCTCCTCAGTGCCCCCTGCAGGAAGTGAACTTTCTCTTCTCGGTCAGTGTTCTAAGGAACGTTTGTGTTAGCCTGTCTTCCCCAGTGCCCGAAGCGACTCGGGGATTTTCATCCCGTCCACCCCTCACCGTGGCGCCCCGGCTTTTGCCTTCTCTGAGCCCGTGGGGCCGGGGGAAATGTTGCCTCCACTGATTCAGGTTCCCGGAGCTAAAATCTGCAGAGATCAGATGTGACACCCAGAGGAGGGAGCAGCTCGTGTCTAACGGGGACATTGCATTAAAACCTGAATAAAACAAGTAGCAAGGCTTAAAGAGCGGAAAACAAGTCATGGAAATAAGTGGAAACTTAACAAGGTGAGAGTACGCAGAGCGTCAGGCTGTCTGGAGAGATGATGCAAACAACCTCCTTTTAGATTTGAAGCCAAGGGAAGGGATTTGCCTGAGGTAATTCAGTGGTAAAATAGGAACTGAGATCTAAATCGGGAGGCTCCCGTTCTGGATCCTTCCCCCCTGAACAGTGCCAGATTTCTTAGCCACGTGAACAGGAATCAATTGCACCGCTGACTCCTGCTAGTAAGACCGCCTCTTTCCTAACCAGGCCCAGCACCCTGCTGCCGATGCTCTGAAAGTCAGGAACTTTTCCCGCAAGCAGACCCACTAACAGGTTCTTAGAGGGATGAAACTAGTAACTACCAGCGCTCAGCTTCTGCTGGCCCAGACGCTACAGAGGAGAAGCGCTGCCAGCTTGCTCCTGCGGATGTGTCTGGCCTACCTTCAGGTCCGAGGAGCGGCGGGTATGACGGATGGGGATGAAGTGGCCAAGGCCCAGCAGGCAGCCCCGGGGCGTGCGGCCCCCACCATCTTCTCCCGGATCCTGGACCGAAGCCTTCCGGCTGACATTCTGTATGAGGACCAGCAGGTGGGGTGCCCTTGGGACCCATCCCCTAAGAATTTCGTAGACCCATCCAGCTAGTTGAGGTAATGTGGTGACTTCTGGCTTGTCACTGCTCCCAGTGTCTCGTGTTCCGTGATGTGGCCCCTCAGGCTCCTGTGCATTTCCTGGTCATTCCCAAGAAGCCCATTCCTCGGATTAGCCAGGCTGAAGAAGAAGATCAACAGGTGGGGAGAGTAGAGCCAGGGTCGGGCTGGGAGGAGGCCAGGATTCAGCGCAAGGCTTTGCTTCTATGAATGAAGCCACCTGTGTCCTCCTCCTTTCCTGTAGCTTTTAGGACACCTCCTCCTTGTGGCCAAGAAGACAGCAAAGGCTGAGGGCCTGGGAGATGGATACCGACTTGGTGAGTGAGTTTTGGCTCCTGGGGCCCTCACGTATGAATTTTTGTTCTTCTCAATATGATCTTCATTCTTCGACCTCTCCCATGATCCTAACTGCAAGCTCCATTTCAGTGATCAACGATGGGAAGATGGGCGCACAGTCAGTATATCACCTGCATATTCATGTACTCGGGGGTCGACAGCTCCTGTGGCCTCCAGGTTGAACCTGCCTACTGACCAAGGACCCCAGACCTGGACACTTGCTTGGATGGTGAAGGGAAAAGTGGGCCCCTGCAGTGCTAATAAACCTATTCTCCATCAACTCTGCATCCTTGTCTTAAATATAAAAAGGTTCTTACCACAGAAGGGGGAAGAAAACTGATTCACCTCCTGAGAGATACTGAGGAGGCCCATCCTGTGGTGGCAGCTAAGGGGCCACCCTAGGTCAAGCTTCTTGAAAAGTAGCAGCTGGAATGAGCCTAAGGGAGGTGAAACCCAAGTGTAAGACATATTCAACCCTGGTCTTTATTCAGAGGCCAAACTAGTTTCTAAGGGGGGGATGGGAAGAGGGTGGTCATTATGAGGGCATTGTTTTGGAGAAGAAGCAGTCACACAGACAAAAGCTGCTGCTACCCTTTCACGGTTCCATATGTCTCACCGTTGTTCTCTTAAGCTGTTTCATAAAGTTTCATCCTTAAAAAGTTTTATGCACTATGCCCACCCCCAGACTTTTTTTGGGAATGAACTGAGCGAACTGTGAGAAAGCTACTGTTGCCCCTGCACAAACGCAGGAAGCAGGATTTCGTCTGATGCCACAGTCATCTCTGTTTGCAACATAGCTCCCTAAATAATCGCCCTGGAAAGTGGTAAAGGCTCATGTTAGCGCATGGAGGGCGAGGTCTTAGGCCAGCGGAACCTTAAAAACCCGGTTGGAGCGGAATGCAGTCGGGGCGGAACGCCGGAAGGCCGCTCCTAGGCTGACTTCCGCCCCGCAGAGGCCTTGCCTCCACCCCCACCCTCCACGTCCGCCCAGCTCTACTTCTGCGCAGTCTCCTGGAATTGTTTGCTGTCGCTATGGCAACCCAGTAGCTTGGGTCGGAAGATGGACACCAATGAGTCTGCTGAGGGATCGCGCCTGCGGTGAGAGCCACCGCTCTGGCTGCCGGCGTAAAGGGAACAGGGAGGGTCGGAGGGCTTTTTGCTGTGCTCGTGACAACCTTAACACATTCGTTTTCTTTCAGTTCTTCGGAAATACAGCCCAGCTCCGGAGGACCAGGGTCCACTTCGGAACAATTTCCTTCTTCGGATGGCCGTCCTAGGACTGCCCTGGCAGCCGCAACCGCGGCAGCTGTAGCGGCTGCATCAGCTGCATCAGCTGCTGCCGCCGCCAAAGCAGCTGCACTGTGTGCACAGGGCCAGGCGCCCTATTCCGAGTTCACAGAGCCTTCCTCTGACAGTGTTCTGCAACCCAGCTTTGCCCACAAGATAGACCATGGGAGTCTTGGCATTGAGCCCGCCCATGTTTCCTGTGTGGCTCGGGATGCCTGTACTACAACCGACCTTAGCGCTAGCCCTGGCCTCCTGACTGGTTCTAGCACGGGTCCTGCTCCTGGCTATAGCCATGGCCTGATTACTAGCTCCAGTTCTGGCCCTGCTCCTGTCTTCAATTCAGGTCCTGGCCAAGGCTCTGGTCCTGGCCAAGGCTCTGTCCCCGGCTCCAGCTCTGGTCCTGGCCATGCCCCTGGCCCTGGCACCAGCTCTGGTCCTGGCCATGCCCCTGGCCCTGGCACCAGCTCTGGTCCTGGCCATGCCCCTGGCCCTGGCCCCAGCTCTGGTCCTGGCCATGCCCCTGGCCCTGGCTCTGCCACTGGTCCTGGCCATGTCCGTATTGGTACCTCTAGCTATGGTCCTAGCCATGGTTTTGGCTCTGGTCGAGGCTCTGGGCCTGCCTCTGGGCCTGGTCCAGGCTCTGGCCCTGGCCTCAGCTCCAGCACTTCTCCAAAGTTCAGAAGTCTCGGAACAGACCTGGTCCCTAATTATGCCTCCTGGAGCCACCAGTGCCACTGGGAGCCTCAGAAACCACCACAGTGGGAATCTCTGCAAGTCTCAGAACCTGGCTCCCGCGGCCCCCGGAAGCCCTCAGAGGTTGAAAGGAAGTCCAAGGTTTTCAGTGAAGCACAGCCGCGGGGCCAGTGTCTCCTCTACAACTGGGAGGAAGAGGTATTAAGGGTCTTGAAAGCTATTCCCCGTCTCCTCGGGGTGGTTGTCTAGGAAGGGATATCAGTCACTCAGCTTGGGGCCCACAGAGAGCCACCAACCACTTGGATCAAGTCCCACGCATGCAGGACGGCTCCGAGAGCTTCTTCTTCCGACACGGACACCAAGGGCTGCTGACCTTGCAACCACAGTCACCCATGCCCTCCAGCACCACCCACAAGGACTCATACCAGCCCCCGGCCAGCTTCCGGCAGCCACTTCGAGGTGGGAAGCATGAGAGGGAAGGGCAGAATGAGCCCACTAGTCACAGAATCAAAGAGGGGAAGGGGTTTCTGCTGGGGTGGGGGATTGCTTGGTGGATATAAGGGCAAAATCCCAAATTGTTCCTTCCTTTTCTTAAATTTCTCTCTTCTGGGACTGTGTCTTAACTAGACCCCCACCCTGTCCCCCTCCCCCCAGGGAAGCGTGAAGCCATGGTGGAGACGTTCCTGCGCCATCAGATCTGGTGAGAGATGGGGAAGGGGAAGGGTGGGGAGGGGGAGACCTGGGGCAGAATGGCCTTGACACCCTGCAGGGCTGCGCAGTAAAGAGGGACGGGCAGAGCAGGAGCCTACCACCAGGAAGCTCTCGGAGGTCGAGTCAGTGACACACCATGACTACCGAATGGAGCTGGTGCGGGCAGGGCCTCCTGCCCCAACCAAGGTAAGAAGCCCTGCCCATCTCACGCAGCTGGGCTCCCAGGGCGGGCAGAGAGGGCGGAGGGCCCAGAGTTGCTCACGGCTCTTTCCCTCGCAGCCTCATGACTACCGGAAGGAGCAGCCCGAAACCTTCTGGATGCAGAGGGCACGGCAGCTGACGGTGTGAGGGTGACTCGGGGCAGGGCAGGGCAGAGGCTGTGTTCTCTCCTGGCTCAGGGGAGGGCAGGCTCTGTCCTCATCCTGGCCCTCCTGCAGGGTGTCAGTAACATCAGGACGCTGGACACGCCATTCCGGAAGAACTGCAGCTTCTCAACGCCTGTGCCCTTGTCTCTGGGGCAGCCTCTGCCCTATGAACCTGCGAGTCACCCCTACCAATCAGCAGAAATGTCTTCCCTTGCCTGTCAGGGAGGAGGGCGGGGCTAGAAGGGGGGAGAGTGACTCCTGTCTAGGGGTTGGGAAGGGAAGCAGGACATGGGATATGGAATCTCTGGACTGGACAGCTGGGGAGAAAGTTAGAGTTCTCTGTGCTTGATGAAGGGGGCCTTATATATAAAGGGTTCTCTCCTCCTGAGACTGTTGATTCACTGATTCTGTGAGTCACCGCGCCCATCCTTGGGGTTGGCTGCTCCTACCCTAGACCGTGACACCGTGACTTGGTGGTGGTGGTGTTTTATATTTGGCCAAAATATTCTGGTTTAGATACAGATATTTACAGAAGGTAGGGAGGAAGGGGGACCAAGCCAGAGAGGGGCAGGTATATGTACAAGGCTGAGCTGCAGAGGGCTACAACGTCCATAGAAGTAGGTTCTTCTGCACGTCTTCATCTCACGTAACAACGTCTGTTTCTCGTGTGTGGAGATGGTGGCCACTGCCCACCCAGGCACCAGCAGCAGGAGATTGTCTGACTTGGGAGGCAGTGGGGTTTACAGGAGCCCAGGGGATCCTTTCCGCTCTCCTAGGAGCCAGTAAGTTCGCATCTTTCCTTTTCCCTGGAAGCGGGCAGTGGGCATAATTCAGATTCCTCTATGTTACTCCCCGAGTCCCTCCATGTCCCCAGGATTCCCGCCGGAATCCTCCCCTGACCGCCGTCACCTTCATCTCCACGTCCCCCCGGAGCTCTAGCTGGAAGCAACCCAGCTCATCCAGGGCATCCTTGGTGGTAGAGGACACGTGGATCTTCAGGGCTGCGGGGCCGGGGTGGGGGGAGGGGGGGTCAGAGAGGAGCTGGTGGCGCTGGAGAGCACCGAGCAAGCACCCCCGTGCTTCCAGCGCACATGTCCCTCAGGTGAAAGGTGCCCAAGGACAGGGCACTTGAGGACCACAGGAGAAAGCAGGAGCTACTGAGGCCGAGGCTGGGGCAGGAGCTGATGTCTCACCTTGGCCATTGGACTCCATTCTAGAAGCGGTGTTCACTGTGTCGCCGAAAAGACAATAGCGGGGCATTTTCAGGCCAACAACCCCTGCGCAGACTGGCCCTGGGAGAAGAAATGGGTTGGGAGGGCCTGGGAAAGGTGGTGAGTAGGGATGCAGTAAGAGTCAGCCTTACCAGTGTGGACCCCTATGCGCAGCCTCAGCTGGTCATGCGGTCGGTGGCGGATGCGGAACGAAGAAACTGCATCCAGTAAGGCTAGGGCCATCCGAGCAATTTCTGGTGCGTGGCGTTGACCATTTCGGCCTGGGAGGCCAGATACCACCATGTAGGCATCCCCAATTGTCTCCACCTGATTGAGAGTGGGCATTAGAAGGTTTCCTCTCTCTCAACCAGTGGGAAAGGGGAATAGTAGGAGATAAGCTGGACACCACCAGGAGTCCTCATGACAGCCTACAAGGGCAGAACATAGCCTAGGGACTACATGTCATTGCCTGAGGGTCTGTGGGAAAGGGGGGGTCTCTGAATCTTAAAGCCCTCCCTCCCCACCCCAGCGCCTGGGGAAAACTCAGAAACCCTTGGCTGAATGGAAGGACAGCCTGCCTGCAACAGAAGCAGGAGCCAGGCTCAACCTTGGAGCCCAAAGGCCGCCAGCAGCCCAGACTGCCAGAGGTGGGAAGACAAACACTTGACTTTGTCTTTGACTGAAACCAAGTAAGAGAGTGTCCTTGTTAGGAAATACACACTAAATACTTAGAGGTAAAGGGGTACTGTGTCTGAAACTCTCACGTGGTTCGGAAAAATTATCATAGGGAGACATATATCTTTTTAAAATCAAATCGATCTGGGCAAAGGATTTATAGGAGTTCTTTATGACAGAGACAACAGAGGTGCTAGCGTGAGTCTAAAGGGCAGGAACAGGAGTGGATATTAATTTTCTACCACACACAAATAAACAAACAAAAGAACAAATCCATTATTCCCAGATATACAGATAAAACAACTGAGGCTCAAGGAGATCCTATTACTTACCCAAGGCAACAATGGCAAAGCCAATATTCAAATCCAGATCATTTTCATTCCCAAGGACAGTAAACCCTGCCCTCTGTCAGCTCATTACGTCAACATAAAAGGCTCTACGATATTTGTTCATAGCCTGCCCTTCACCTCACTCAACCTATCTGTACCTACATCCTGTATGATTCTTCCATGTCTGGAGGGGACTGGAAAGAAATGGTGAAAAAGCTGTTGTTTATACCCCTGGGGAGACAGGGGCTAAATTCTGGGATGGTTCTGACTGGGGGAGCTTAATAAGTCCTAACAAATGAGACTGAACTGTACGATTACAGTGCTCCAGCACGAGGGTGCAGGAGACCCTGGAGCAAAAACTGATGGAAGAGGTCAGGCACGTCAGGTCCAGAGAGACTGAGTGATTTTTTTTTTTTTTTTTAATCTGAGAGACAGAGAGGGCTCTCATCTGCTGGCTTACTTCCCAATGCCCACAAGGGCTAGGACTGGGCTGCACCAAAGGCAGGAGCCAGGAACTCAATACGGGTCTCCCACACGAGTGGCCAGAACCCAACTACTTGAGCCATCACTGCTGCGTTCCAGGGTCTGCATTAGCAGGACGCTGGAATGAGGAGCAGAGCCAGGACTCATACCCAGGCTCTCTGATATGGGACATGGACATCTTAACTGTTAGGCTAAACGCCCACGTGATCTCATCAGGAAGGCAGCCCTGACTCTCACCTTGTAGACGTCAAAGTTGTCAATTATGGCGTCAAAGCAGGTGTACAGGTCATTAAGAAGTGTCACCACCTAACGGGGATGGAAAAGCAGAGGCTTTCAGACTTGTACCCAACTTTCTAAGAATTCTTAACACATGAGCCATAAGAAGATATGGGAGCTCTAGAACAAACGAACCGTCCCTACTCCTCAGGCTCCCCAGGTCCCTGACCCACCCACGACCTCTCACCTGCATGGGGGTGCTCTCTGCTGACAGCGCTGTGAAGCCAACGATGTCACTGAAGTAGATGGTAACACTGTCAAAGGCCTCCGCCTGAACAGTCTCTCCCCGCTTTAGCTGCTCTGCCACTGAACTAGAGACAAGGGTGCAGCTGTGAACCAGACGCCAAGGAGACTGGAAAGGGGTACACGGCTGCAGCAGAGACGACTTGGTGGAGAGAAAGGAAAGTGGCTGGGAAAACATTACAATCTAGGGCAGGGTAAGGGGCACAGGCAGTGGGGGATGGCAGGGCCTCCCTGTGCAGGCAACCAGGTGTCTCAAGGCAGGACTGCTGCACATCCACTCACTGGGGGAAGGGCATCGTAGAGCAGTGTCCTAAGAAGGGATGAGAAGCCAGAAAGAGGGCAGCAAGATGTGAAAAAGCAGGGTTCTGAGGCTTGGGATATGAGTTCTTGGGAGCGTGATGAGCCAGGGGCCAATGGAGAATAATCCCCAAGGAAAATTCTGGAAGGAGGACAAAGGTCTCACTGGGGTAGAATCTGGTAGAGCAGAGCCTCAGCCTTGCGCTTCTCCTCCAGGTAGGCCTGCGTGCGTTCCTCCACCAGCTTCTCCAGGTTATTGGCATACTGCTCCATGCGCAGCAGGAGGTTGTCCAATATGCTGGTGCCACCTTCCCTGGGGGAAGGACAAGATGTGGCACCTTTGCCAAGACTCCCAGGACTTGCTCCCCACCCCACCTTCCGGCCCCACCAGCACCCCCTCACCCACTAAGACTGAGGGGGCTTCTGCCTCCGGGGAGCTCCTGCCCCTCGCTACTCCCTCACTTGTTAAAGCGGCGTATGAAGCCCTTAATCTGTCCGAAGTCTGGCCGCTCGGCTGGGTCCTGGGCCCAGCATCGCTCCATCAGCAGAACTAGCTCCTCGTTCAGCTGGGTCCGGTCGATGCTTGGCCGGAAATATGGCCGCTGACCATTGCGCACCTTCTGGACGATCTCTGAGGGCGATGAAAGGTCTGGATGAAACACAGGGTCCATGCAGGAAGAAGAGGCGGTGGACAGTGGGTTGACTCTCACCTTTTGGGCTGAGGTCCAGGCCTTCCAAGTAGAAAGGACCACTGCGAAGCGCTATCTCCTGCAGGATGATCCCAAAGCTATAGACGTCAGCCTTCTGCATGCCGGTGGTTGGCAAGGAGTTCCCACTGAGCAGCTCTGGGGCGGTCCACAGCTTCTCTGAAAAGAAGGAACAGGCTAGCCAGGCCTCCAAAAGAGGGTGTCCCCAAGTCCACCAGGCTAATTCCCATAATGCTCCCCAACATGAAAATGCAACAGGAAAAACAGGCACGGGGGCGGGCCTCACTGGCATAGAGGGCGTGGCTGTCATCGGGTTCAGCAGTCGATCGGAAGCTGGCCAGGCCGTAGTCTGTGATTTTGAGGACAAAACGGCTATCCACCACACAGTTGGAGGACTTGAGACTCCCATGGGATGAAATAATGCTGTTGTGGAGAAAGGCCATACCCTGCAGGACACAGATGGAGTCACGGGACTGGACCATACGTTCCTTAGAATGTTCCCTCGCCCGGGGCCGGCACTGTGACATAGTAGGTTAAGTCTCCGCCTGCAGTGCCAGCATCCTGTAGGGGTGCCAGTTCGAATTCCAGCCGTTCCATTTCTGATCCAGCTTCCTGCTAATGCACCTGGGAAAGCAGTGGAAGATGGCCCAAGTGCTCGGGCCCCTGCACCCACTTGTGAGACCCAGAGGAAGCTCCTGGCTCCTGGCTTCAGATCAGCCCAGCTCCTGCCGTTACAGCCATTTGGGGAGTGAACCAGCGGATGAAAGACCCCTCTCTCTTTCTTTCTCTCTCTGTAACTGCCTCTCAAATAATTAAAAAAAAAAAAAAAGAATATCCCCTCTCCATGAGAAGGACACTTAACCAGCTGTCTAAAGATCTGGGGACCTACCAACAGCGGGCTGAGGGGCAGTTAAGACACCACGTGCCATATCAGAGTGCCCCCAGCTCCTGACTCCACCCTCCTGCTGACGTGGAACCTGCAGGGTCGGGGTAATGGCTCAGGGGCTTGGCTTCCTGCCACCCATGTGGGAGATCTGGATGGAGTGCACCTTCTGGGCCTTTGAGGGCGTCTGGGGAGTGAACCAGCAGAGGGGAGCCTGCACTTGCTTTCTCACCCCTCCACTCTCTCTCTACCTCTCAAATAAATTAATTAATTGAAAAAACAGTAAACTGATTTTGGAAAGCATCCTTTGCACAATTCCACTCAAGGAAGCTGGCAGAATAGGAAAGACGTCCCTTTCTGGTACCATAAGCAGCAAAGAGGCACCCAGGCACCAGGAGAGGAAACATAAGAGAAGGGATGGGGAGCTGCCAATTTACTACCCTAGAGAGGGAAACCCATCTTCTTCTTTTTAATTTTTTTATTTGACAAATAGAGTTAGTGAGAGAGAGAGAGACAGAGAGAAAGGTTTTCCTTCCATTGGTTCACCCCCCAAATGGCTGCTGTGGCCAGCGCACTGCGGCCGAAGCCAGGAGCCAGGTGCTTCCTCCTGGTTTCCCATGCAGGTGCTGGGGCCCAAGCACTTGGGCCATCCTCCACTGCCTTCCTGGGCCACAGCAGAGAGCTGGACTGGAAGAGAAGCAACTGGGACAGAATCCGGCACCCATATGGGACGCCGGCGCCACAGGAGGAGGATTAACCATGCAAGCCACGGCGCCGGCCCCGGGAAACCATCTTCTGAGCACCGAGTTCCCACTGAGCAGTAGTGAAAGGAACATAACCATAAGGTTGAACGCCAAGAGTGATTTGACGCCTATCGGGGCTGGTAGTTAGGAAGCCAGGGCTTGGGACCCACGTACCAAGAGCAGCTGAACTTTAATCCATCTGTGTACAGGCAAGCAAGTCAGGGTGGAGGAGGACTGTGATCTGCTACTACAGGGAGCGCTGGCTCAGGGAGAAGGTGGAGAAGAGTGAATGACCATACCCAGGAAAGCGGTCACAAGTGGGGAACAGCTGCCGAGCCAAGGCACAAGCTGAAACTGCAGACCCAGTGGGGCCAGAGGAGAGGACGCACGCCTCTGAGGAAGACAGGTCTTAAAGGAGTAGTGCTTCCCAAAACCACAGCCCTCAGGGCCCACGCAAGTCAGGTCCTGGTGGGACAGAAAGGAGTCAAGGTTCTATATGCTGACCCCAAACACTCTGTGTGAAGGGTAGCCCTGGTCTTAACAATTCGTATCTCTAGTCCATGTGAACTCTTCCTTTTCATTTATTTTATTTTTTATTTGAAAAGCAGAGTTACAAAGAGGAGAGACAGAGAGAGAGAGAGAGAGAATCTTCCATCCACTGATTCACCCCCCATATGACCACCAACAGCCAGTGCTGGGCCTGGCCGGAGCCAGGAGCCTGGAACTCCATTCAGGTCTCCCACATGGTTGCCGGGACTCAAACATGTGGGCTGTCTTCCACTCCTTTCCCAGGAGCATCAGCAGGGAGCTGGATAGGAAGTGGAGCAGCTGAGACTTGAACCAGCGCCCACATAGGATGCTGGCGTCACAGGCGGCAGCCCAACCTGCGGCACCACAGCACCGGTCCCTCCCTTTTATTTTAGGCATCAAACAAACGTTTGGGAATCACCAAATCTGTGAATTTCATTTCATGGAAACTACAAAGGACACTTTCCAAAATCACAGAAATGATCAGGCTGACTCTGTTCAAAGCCACTTTTTTCATCAAATTGCTGTTCTCCAAGAGTCATGTTTTCCTTCTATGTATCATCACACCTGTGGTTGACTACTACTTCAACTTGATCTAGTACTTTATCTCTCATTTGATGGCAGATTTTCTTATATACACACACGCACACACACACACACATTTTAAAATGACTTCATCAGAATTTGGAATACAGCAAAGCACTGTCGGGTAGCGTGTGGTCTTCCACTAGGCTTGCTCCCAAGCCGAGGCTTGCTTCTGGACACACAAGCAGAGCTCTCGCTGCAGGGGGTTAAGCCACTGCCTGAGGCATCAGCATTCATGACAGAGCACTGGGGTTCAAACCCTGGCTTCTCTGTTTCTGACCCAGCTCCCTGCTGCTGTTCTCGGGAAAGCGGCAGCAGATGGCTAAGTCCTTGGGCCCCTGACATCCACTCGCAAGACTCAGATCTAACTCTAGACTCCCTGGCCATTATGGCCATTTGGGCAGTAAACCAGCAGATGGAAGATTTCTTTCTCTCTCTTTCCTTCTTTCTCTGTCACTCTGCCTTCCAAATAAGTAAAAATAAGTCTTTTAAAAATTAAAAAAAAAAAAACTTGTCTACCTGTCCAACCCTTGGAAAACCGAATTTTATGCCTCCATTAATCCATAGGCTTTTGGGTCATTTGAAAATAGCTGACACCTAGCCTACTGGAGGGATACTAAAGGCTTAGTACACTCTTTCTTGGTTTCTTTTTTGTACAAGTAAATGTTCTTTTTAAAATTTCAGTTTTCTGAGCAAAATAACAGACATGCCAACTATTTGTCAGAGAGTCCAATGATGAGAGGAAAAACAGGAGATAAGAATTTCAGAGAATCCACTCATCTTTTCTCTTCCAAAGGATTTAATTTTTTTTTAATGTTTTACTTATTTATTTAGGAGGCAGAAAGAGAGAGAGAGAATATATATGAATGAATGAGTGTACTTCCATCTGCTGGTTCACTCCCCAAATGCCCGCCTACAATGGCCAGGAGCCAGGAACTCAACCCAGGTCTCCCCCACGGGTGGCAGGAACACAATGACTTGAGCCACCACTGCTGCCTCGCCGGGTCTGCACCAACAGGAAGCTGGAGTCAGGCATTGAATCCGAGTGCTCTGACGTGGGACACAGTGTCTCACAGTCAATGTCTTAACTGCTGGGCTAAATGGGCCCCCTACCACCAGCCACTGCACTCTTGGAGGTAAAAGAGAAGCTGGGGAGACATCTGAGACACCTAGCACAGAAAGACAAAAATCCTCTACAGGCACCAGACTCTAGCAGCAGGTAAAACTCACTCCCCCGGTATAAGCCCTAGATCCCTTGTTTAACCATTATTACCCAACACAGGCATGAGGGCAGATGGAGAGAACAGGACTATCAGAGGATGGGACAGTGGAGAGAAGCCTTAAGCAAACACAGGACAATGGAGACATTTTGAAGTGAATGACCTCTTAACTAGGAGTGGGAAAGACTCACCTTGACAAGGTCATTAATGAGTGAATAACGGAACATCCAGTCCAAGTTGATGCTGTCATTTTCTAGAATATCCTGGTAAGTGACATGGAATAGATTATGTCTGTCCTAGGCCCACTGGCTGTCACCTGGCAAAGAGTCAATGTAACTGAGCCAATCCCCTAACCCCACCACCACAGTCTCCTTCACCCAGCCCTCACCTGCAAACTCCCACGAGGACAATACTCGGTGACGATGCAGATGTTGGGAGGGTCTATGCAGGCTCCAATGAAGCGAGTGAGATGATTGAACTGGACATCTCTCATCTGCAGGAAGCCATCAGGAAGGAGAAGAGAACTGAGCGAGCTTAGAAATCCACCACGACATGGGAAGATCCTTCTCTTGGTTGTGCCTACAGCTTAAACTCATGTATAAATAAGCCCTGGGATGACTTGTGAGCACACCCCTGCCCTGCTAGCCAATGCTCCTACCCCGTGGTCTCCCCCAGCCCTCCCCCGCCCCCTCCACCCAGGCGCATCACATACATGTTTGAGTTCAAACAGAACTTGCCGGGTCAGCTCAATGCGCTTCTTGTTCACGTGTTTGATGGCCACAACATTTCCCTGATGGCGAGGGTGGAAGGGGAAACGGAAAGTGAGTATCAGGTGTTTCTGGGCGCCAGGGAATACTGGAGAGCTGTGGGAGCGTCCAGGAGCTCAGCTGGGCACAGAGCGGGGGTCATGGGGGCAGCGGTCCAGGGGCAGAGGTGGCAGATGGGGATGAGACAGGATGAAATGGTGGGGACCAGAACAAGCGGACGACTGTTCACCTTGAAGTGACCGGTGTTGGCAAAGATCTGGTATTTCCCATGGGCTGTCATGAGCGAGCCGTAACTGGATCCCCGCTGGGGCCAAGGGCAACATGGAGGCGGAAGGATGAAAGGAACATTAGATGGTGGTGGCAGTGCAGGGGCTATCATTACAGGCCAGTGTGCTGGGAGAGGTCCAGGGAGAGAAAGGACAGCAACTCAGAGGGAGGCAGACGACCGCTGAGACGAGGGCTCACCAGCGACAGCGTGAGGCGGCTGCCTGCGCCTTTGTGACAGCGCTCTGAGTTGCCGAACTGCAGCTCTTCCCAGCGGATGCGCCACAGCATGCTGGCCAGCTCCTTCTCCAGCATCAGCTTCCTGTAAGGACTGCACACCTCAGCTGACTGGCAAGCCCCGCCCTGCCACCCCCTCAGCCACCGCGCGGCTGCAAGGTGCTCCAGCTGGTACAGTCGAGGGCCACGCACGCCGAAAGTGCACGCCCCAGGCCCACTTCCAAACACACGGTGCACCCGAGGAAAATCACCTTTGACCTCGGCCCCACTCTAAATGACCAGTTAGCATGACCAGTCTAGAACCCAAAGTGGAACAGACTCCCAGCCTGAAGACAACTACGGAGAAAGGCCAGGGAGGACCTGCTGTCAGATCTGAGAGGAGGCCCTGGCCCCTCCCCCACATTCTCGGGCCCAGCTGTCCTCGGAGGCTGTGTGGCATCGTGGCCGACCAGGGAGGGGCCCAGAACTCACCGGAAAATCAGAAAGCTGGAAACGCCAAACATTATGAAGGTGATGCCTGTGCCCAGAGCCACAATGGCCAGTGTCGAGAGAGGAGCTGAAGGGGAGAGGGAGACCCTGAGAAAGACTGTGGGGGCGGCGGGCTGCCCAGTGGGGAGGGGTGAGGCTCAGGTGGGGAGGAGCAGACAGATTTCCCGAGGGAAGTGAGCAAGGAGGGAGGGCAGCAGAGTGGAGAGGCAGCAGGGGTGGAGGTGAGGGGAGGAAGTGTAGCTCCCAGGCCCTGCACACACCCACTTTTATCACAGGATGGGTCGTCCAAGTCAAAGGCACAGGGGGGGTTGTCCAGGGGGGGCGCCCCCTTCACCCAGGCAATAGGCCGTTCTGTCCACCAGATCTGCTTCTCGGCTCCCGAGTAGTGGGCTGCAGGCTGCGAGGAAGCAGAAAGCTGGGCCCATGGGCCTGCTGCCCGAGACACTGCGATTCTGCTTGTCCCCCAGCCAGGAGGGGGCTCCCCCAGAGAAGATAAGCCCCTGCCTCTAGGCCCTTTGGCTCTGCCCTCCCTGGACTCTAGAAGGCTGACTTCTGCAAGGCCACCATCCCTTCCCTGCCCCTCCCCCATCACCTGGAAGTCCCCAGAATCCAGGTCTCCCATGGCCCACAGGACGAAATCGGTCTCCCGGTCATTGTTCTTGTCCATAACAACCAAGCCAGTCACACCTAAGAGAGCAAAGAGCAGCCGTTACTTTGAGGTCTACCCTAGAACCCCTCCTCTCCCCTGGCCCCTCCAGCTGCCTCAGAGCCTGTCCCCACCCCTGCCCCTGAGATGTGCCCACCCATGCCACGTCCTCCAGCCCCTGCTGATGCCCCCTGCTGCTCCGACCTGTTCTTGTTCTGCCCATTCCGCTCCTGAGCCTGGCCCCAGCCCTCAGGGGCGCTGTCAGCCCCGTTCCTTACCGTGGTACCTCCGGCCTTGCATCTTCTCCACAATCCGCAGCCCGTCCTCCCGGGTGCCTCCTTCCTGGAGGGTCTCGTTCAGGACTTCAGCATAGAGCAGGATGCCGTCGTAGAAGCAGCCAGCGATGAGGTTCATCTGGGGGTGGTAACTCTCTCCAAACGTCCTGCCAGGCCCCTGCCCGACCCCCGACCCCCAGCTCTGGGCTCCCTTGGACCTCTTCTCACCTCTGCTTTACTTCCCCCCGCCCACTTCCACCTCACTGGACCCCGGGCCACGAGGAAATGCCCTGGATGGGAGCCACAGCCACCGCTGGATGCTGAGCTGGGGCAGAGGAGTCCTGCTCACAGGCCGGCCTCTCTCGGGGAGGGGAGAGGAGAGGGAGCTGCTTACCAGGGAAGGGGCCAGCTCCACTCCGAAATCTTCTCGGGCTCTTATCAGCAGACGATTCTGGAATTCCTGATACTCAGGATTTGGGGGTTCTCGGTACGTGATCACCAGCACAGTCTGTACCAGCAGAATACGGGGAGAAGTGAATGGGATTCCAGGTGGGCAAGACTGGAGGCAGGACAGGGAGATCTGGTGAAATGTACATGATCTATAATACACAGGGGTGAGTCTGAAGGCTGAAAGGATACTAAGCTCTGTGTGTGTGTGTGTGTGTGTGTGTGTGCAAATGTGCACGTGCGGTGTGTTCAGTACCTCTGGGGGGAGGGGGCAGCACTCCTCCAGGAAAGGCAGACAGCACTGCTTGTGGGAAGGGGGAGACCAGGCAGTAACCGCAAAAGCCCATCATCTTCCCCAACTCCCTGCCACACCCAAGGCCTCTTGGCGAGCTGCCCGTGGTCTCACAGCCCCTCTTTTCCTCTCCTTTTGGGGTATCCGTCCACTATCGGGGAAAACACGGGTCATCTGCTCCTCCCTGGTGTGTTCATTACTGTCAACATTAGCAATAACACGATGACGTCATTGTTTGGGCCACTCAGACAGAGCGCCTGCGCCCGGTGAAGGAAAGAGATTCCAGGCTCTGGGCGGTACTTGGACGCCGCGATTCCACCTGTGAGAGGCTGAGTTCACACAGTTCGCCTGCAGAGGACACTTCCCACAAGCATCACTGTCTTGCTTAAGAGACATGTGTCACTGGGACAAATTCCCAGAAGTCACATGCCACACACCACACACATTTCATAGATAAGCAAACGGCATGTGGGCTCAGGCAGGCACATATCTCCCTGGCGCATGAGTCAGCACGTCCGTCCCTCATCAAAGTGCCTTCCCGGCTCCCGTGAGCTGCTCGGGTGGCCCCTGCCTTAGCTGCAGTCTCCGCTGAGACCAGTCCCTGCTCAGACACCAAACTGGCATCATAGGGTCAGGGAGAGACTTCAGCTCACCACGACTGTGAAGGCAGTAACTTAAAATCCAGGCACTTTGGCCAGTTCTGTGCACTCCTGCCATGGAAAGCACACGTGGGCTGTGAGACCGCACCTGCATCCCCTGCGCGCACCATGAGCTGTCTGGGGAGGACTGACAGGCAGCGGAAGCCAGCTTCCACCTTGCACTCATCATATCAGACTGCGGTTTTCTCTGCAGCATGCGAGCGCTTGATCACACCCTTCTAACATCCTTCCACGCTCAGGCAAAACATAAAGGGGAGGAGGACGAAGGGTGAGGTGGGCAGGGTTCAGTAGGCGACACCTGCTGCAGAAATACAAGACATTCAGAGAGGCAGCGCACCGACGATGAAAAGCACAAGAGCTGGAGAAGAGATTTAATACAACTTGTATTTCACTTAAGGCTGAGGGTGGGTTTTTTATTCTCTAGGCTGCTTTGTTCCCTAGGCTGGCAGTTATCAAACATGTTGGTCTCAAGATGGCCTGACAGCCTTACATGTTACTGAGGACCCTAAGAAACTTGTGTTTATGTGGAGTAAATCTACAGGTATTGGCCATATTATAAATTAAAGCTGATACACTTTGAGAACACAAGAGCACACAGGGGTCGGCATTGTGGCACAGCAGGTTAAGCTACTGTCTGTAACACAGGTATCCCATATGAGCACCAGTCCAAGTCCCAGCTGCTCCACTTCCAACCCAGCTTCCTGGAAAGGCACCTGGGAAAGCAGTGGAAGACAGTCCAGGGGCTTGGGCCCCTGCACCCATGTTGGAGACCTGGATGAAGGTCCTGGCTCCTGGCTCCTGGTTTCAGCCTGGCCCAGCCCTTCCCGTTGCAGCCATTGGGGAGTGACCCAGTGGATGGAAGATATCTCTCTTTCCCCTCGGCCTCTATAACTCTGCCTTTCAAATAAATAAGTAAATCTTAAAAAAGAAAAAGAAAGAGAAAAAGATCAAAAATGAAAGTCCACACAAGCCACCCACAGCTGCCAGAGTGATGACATTATCCCACAAAAGGAACCTCTGGAAAACTCCACTGTATAAGGACAGCAGAATGAGTGGCGAAGGCAAAGAACAGCAAAGTATTATTTTTCAGTTTTTACCTGTGGTCCCCCAAAGGATTTCTGTGGCCCCCAGGATCCCAAGACCATACTTTGAAAACTGTTAGGCTAGACTGTTTTTGCTGTGGCTCCCAGCTACTTAAAAAAAAAAAAAAAAAAAAAAAAAAAAAAAAAAACAACAACAACAACACCAAAAACCCCAAGCAGTTTTGCTCAGGAGCTAGAAGGAGGGGAAGGTAGGTAACTGTGGCCCCAGATGGACAAAAAACAAGCGAAGTCTGCCAGAACTGGGCTTGGCAGTGGGCAGAAGCCAGGAGTGCACCTGAGAAAGGTGCCCTGCAGGAGGCACCTGTGGGCTCACCCACGCTGCGACCTGCTCTGCTCAGAGGGCCGTGCTGCCAGCCAAGGCCTGAGGGGACAGTCTCCACGCAGAGATCTTGTCTCCCACAGCCTCCAGCTACGGCTCTCTCCCGCCGTGGCTGCTTGGTTCCCTATCTGCAGCCAGTCTCCTGCGGAACCCCTACCTATGACCTCCCCCTGGATTCCCGCCTTGCCGTCCTCTGGCTCCCCGGAGTCCAGTCATCTATCCATGCAGTTCGTTCCACCACATCTGCCCTTCTCCCCTACCCTGGTTGACCACTTTGATTTCCAAATCCTGGCAGCTCCATTCTTGGCCAGACGAACTCCTAGACCTACCCTCCCTCTCCCCAACACACACCTTAATTAATGCCAACCTACTACATGCTAGACGTGTGGAAGACGAGGATGAACGTGATCCCTAACCTCAGTGGCTACGGATGGATGGGGGAGAAAAATCCCATGGACACACTTCATTTCAAGGTCCCCTAGCCCAGGAGCGGCCATCCCGAGGCTCTTTCTGGCCATGACACTCTCCTGGAAAAACTCTGGGCATCTGTGCCAAGGTTTCCTCGCCCGTCTGGCCCCGTGCTCAGGCTGGCCTGGTCTGGGACTCCAGTAGGACAAGTGTCTCTTGGGAAAGGGCTCTCTGCTCTCTCCTCCTTGGCTGCAGCTGGCCACCCAGGTTCCCTCCCCACCCCGCACCCCTGCCTCAGCCCTGGGAGACAGGAGCAGCTTGGCCACGCCCCTGCCCTCGTCCTTTCCCACCCTTGTCCCTGGTCTTCCCTCAGCGTATTTCTGACTGCCTGCTGCCCTTCTCCCGCGCTGCAGCAAAGCCCCTCTTCATCACTCTGTCTGAATCATGTGAGACAGAGAGCCATGAACGAACAGGCTGACATGACTGACTAGAAGGTGACAACAGCCCTCCTCTCCCAGCGCTAAGGACTGGGGACCCTTGGCTAACAAGAGTCCTCACACGAGAAACACAGGTTCTTCTTTCACAGAGAGAAGGCAGCCCTCCCACCCGGAACATCCATCGGCCTCCCTTGGCCATGGCAGCTGAAGCACAATCTTCTGGCTATTCCCTTCTTGCACCACACCCATCCCTCCCTCCCTCTCTCTCTCTCTCTCTCTCTCTCTCTCTCTCTCTCTCTCTAACACATGGCAATATGTTCCTATAATTGCATTCACTGTGTATTTGTTCATTCTCCGGGGACTTCCTCTGCTCTGTTCTCTACTGCATACCAGCACCTGGAACCTAGTGCAGGTGCTCCGTCAACACCAGTGGGATGAGTCAAGTCTTCAAACGTACAAACACGCAGTAAACAACGTGCTGAGTTCCACGGAGGCCAGAGTGAAGCACAAGAGAAGGGAACTCAGTGCAGCCTGGGGATTCGGAAGGGCAAAGAACATGCCTGGGTCTTAAAGAACGTGGCAACGATATGCAGACAGGCCACCGTGAGAAGGCTGCTTTAGGAAAAGCTTAGAGCAGAAACAAAGCCTGTCCCGCCACTGCCCCTGTGCAACTGTGACAACCACAGGCTCATAGTCAGCCATGCCAACAGGTGTGTCATTCAGTAGGACACACTGCTCAGTCCCGACCAAATACGTAATCACAGCCCCTGAAACCTTACTCACTCCAGAAGAATGGCCACCCAGGTCTGGCTCTTTTTTTTTTTTTTTGACAGGCAGAGTTAGAGAGAGAGACAGAGAGAAAGGTCTTCCGTTTCCATTGGTTCACCCCCAAAGTGGCCACTACAGCCAGCCAGGAGCCAGGTGCTTCCTCCTGGTTTCCCATTCGGGTGCAGGGCCCAAGCACTTGGGCCATCCTCCACTGCACTCCTGGGCCACAGCAGAGAGCTGGACTGGAAGAGGAGCAACCGGGACAGAATCCAGCACCCCAACCGGGACTAGAACCTGGGGTGCCGGTGCCGCAGGCGGATGATTAGCCTAGTGAGCCGCGGCGCCGGCCCAGGTCCAGCTCTTAGACACACTGACTTGGAAGCAAGAAACTCAGTGGGAAAAGGACCTTAAGGCTATCCTGAGAGCCACCTCAAACCCTTTATGGAATGAACATGCATAAATAAATGGGAAACACTTATATACATAAATTAGTGGGGAATCAGTAGAGGGGGTGGGAGAACATTCGCGGGGGTGACTGTGAGAGAGAGACAGGGCACAAAGGCATGAGGGCAGGAGGGGGCCTGGGGCCAGGGAGCCTGAGAGACGTCCGACCAGCTGGTGGTCTCAGCCCTGCGAGGGAAGACTGGAAATGTGGGGGACAGCACACTACAGAACATCTTCACCGTCACAGCAAGGGGTCAGCACTGCATTTAGCAGCAAACAAGTCACAGAAACTTGGAACAGAGGAGTGAAGCAGGCAGAGTCAGGCCAGCCGTCCCTACAAGCTCTCTCTGAAAGCCATCTCTCCTGCGCCTCCTCCGGACACCCTAGTTCAAGGGGCACTGCCTCAGGCTCTTCTAACCCAACTGGAGTTCTGTCACCACACTGATCCTCACAAAACAGAACTCCGAAGACCTGCAATGCAAGTCCTAGAGTTCTCCTTAATCGGATTACACTTTTGCGATCCCTGTACCTAATTTGAGCGAACTCTTCCCTCTTGTCAGGTCAGCATCTTCCTGGTCCTCCAAACAGCCCCATTCCAGTCTTCTTCTCTTTGCTCGGGCAGCTCGGATTCCTTCTCCTGCTCTGCGAATATGACCTCTACCACCAAGGTCACGATAGGATCTCACTTCCTGTACAAAAGGCTTCGTCCCTAAACCCAGGCCACAGCGACTGTGCCTCCTCGGAACCACTGCGGTTCTCAGCGTCCAGTGTCCGTTCCAGCCACGCCATCACACCCCTTCTCTCAAACTTTATGTAACTGTGCCAGAGGTATGCCTCACCTCTCTAGGGACGTGGGAGCCTTGTAGGGGTGGGGCGAGGCTCAGGTCCTTCCCTTGACTTTGCTCCCCTGTGGTCTACTGCTGGCACTTAGGAAAGTCAGTGTTCCAGGATCTCTGGAGCTGGCCAAAGTCAGCCCTAGCAGAAGAGCTCCAGGGGGCGGGGTGGGGGGCAGAGTGACACCGGACTCCAACAGGCTCTCACGTCAAGTCAGGTCTATCACAATTCCTGCCCTGTTCCTGGAGGCCCTGTGGGGACCTCCAACAAAGCACTTCCTCCTGCAGACTCAGCCGGAAAGATACCTGGAAGGCCTCCCTGAGGGCCTGGGCCTGCTCCTGGGTGCGGTTGTCCTGCCAGGGCCGGCCTGTAGAGCGCGTGGGCCCCGCGCGGAGACTCTCCCCAAAGACGTCCAGGTAAAAGAAGACGTAGTCCCCGTTGGTCAGGTTCTCCCTCTGGGCCTGGAGCAGGATCTCATGCAGCATCTCCAGAGGACCGCAGATGTACACAACTGGGAGCAGGTACAACAGAGGCGCACCTGAGAGAGCGTCCAGCCGCCCCGCCCTCCCAGAACCAAGTGCATCTCCCTCCTCAGCCAGAAAGTGCTCTGACCTATGCACCCCCAGCAGATGCTCCCCCTCCCTCCCCCTGCAGTGGGGGTCCTGAGTACCCTGGGGCCGCCTGGACCATCTGGCAGAAGTCAGGGCCTGACCTCACCCTCCAGGAGGAGGGTGCGCTCATCTACAGTCCCTCCATTCCCCAGGGCTCAGCTGCTGTCCCCTCCCCTCCCCGCCCAGCCTCCGCACTTCCCACCTCCTCCCTAGGCTCAGAGGCAAAAGCCGGGAGCCTGTTTGTGGAGGCCCTGCTACTTTTTGCTGCCACCAAGATGTCCTGAGGCCCCAGTCTGGGAGATCTCTGCTCACAGAAAGGCGTGGGGTTTCAGGGTGGCATCCACCCCTCCGGGGGCACCCACCCTGCTCCCCGCCTCCACATTCTCCTCTGGCCCAAGCTTTATCCCCACCCCCCCAACTCCACACGCACACAGCGCTCTCCTACTCCTTGTTTACATCTGCCTATGGTGTCCACAAGCTGCCGGCAAAGCACGTGGGCCCTGGCACAGGTGCTCTGTCCCCAACCACCACATACATACAGCTCAGCCCTCCAACACAGACCTCCACCTACAGTTTCCCAGGCCTGGGCTCCAGCTCCCCCCCAACCCCGGCCCTAACACGGCCCCGGGCCACACTCACTGCGCCCGTTGGCCCGGATGAAGTGGGTGGCCTGCTCAGGGCCCCCTGGCTCCCGGGCATACACCTGGTGCTGCACACTGAGGTTGTTGCCCTGCAGGGCCTCGAAGACGCCCTCGATGGTGAAGTAGTGAGGCCGGTCATCGGTGCGAGCGTCCAGATACAGCAGGGCAGCGCGGGAGGTCCAGTTGAAGTGCTCGTGTAAGGTCACCACAAACTCACCCAGCTTGGGCGCCGAGGGGCCCGTGCGAACCAGGGTGCGATAATGCTCGCTCTTAGCTGCAAAGCCAGAAGCCACAGCACCCGCAGTCAGCAGGGGCAGGCGCCAGTGCGAGGCAAAGCGGGCCACTGAGGCGGCGGGGTACACGCAGCCGGGGCCCAAGAGCAGGTCAGGGTCGTGGTAAAGCTTGAGGTCCACGGCGCGCAGCGGTGCCAGGTACTCAGAGCAGGCGCCATCTAGTTCGGAGCTGACAAACCGCAGGTCCACGGGCAGTGCCCGGCCCAGCGCCTCCACGGCCAGTGCCACAGCAGGACCCACCCGTGGCCAGGCCCAGGCGTAGCTCAGGTTGTGCTCCGGCAGCACCACCGCCAGCGTCAGGTTCCGCGCCCCCGGAGGACGCACCCCACCTGCCAGGGCTGCCACCAACAGCAGGAGCGATGGCAAGGCCATGGGGATAAAGCAGCAGCCCCTCCGCCCCCAGCACCTGGGGCCGCTCTGGCCTAGCCGGGAGGCACGGGCACCACCCAGCCTGGAGCCTGGGCAAGAGGCGCGGGCCGAGGCGGCCGGGCCCCGCAAAGTGCTGGGGACCCGGACCCGCCCGGAGGAGAGGAGAGGCCGCCTGGGGTGCGGAGGGGGTGGGCCGCCAGCCTAGGGCCAGCACGGAGCACTAGGGGAAGGGTGGCAGGGGGAGGCACGGACAGACGGAAGGGGCCCGCGGCCGGGATGGGGACAGGGAGCCCTGAAGTGGCCTGAGGAGCAACGGGGAATCCGAGGCTGGGATGGGGTTGGGGGCGGGGGTGAACTGGTACGAAGAAACGGCCTGGGGGCACCTCACGGCCGAAGGGGCTGGGAGGCCGGGGAGCTGCGGGAAACCGGACCAAAGGGGCGGCGAGGCGGGAGGGCGCCCGCGGCGCGGACGGTCTGGGACATGGGCGGGCGGGGAGCAAAGCGAGGCCTGGGCCGGAGGGGAGGGGAAGGCAGGGGTGAGTCTCCTGCGAAGGCTTCTCCCGAAGCTCCTGCTTGGACTAACGGGCCCGGGCGCTGGTCCCATCCGGAGCTGCGGCGGCCCCGCCCGTGTCCCCAGCTCCGTTCCGCTCCGCTCCTCCTGGGCCCCGGCGGCCGGCGCTTCCTCCCGCCCCCCGCCTGGGCCCCCGCGCGCGCCGCTCGTCCGGGTCAGGTCGCCTCGGCCCGGCGCGTCTCCGCTAGCTGCGCCGGCGGCGGCGGCCGAGTGCGACTCCCTGGGCAGGCCGCCCGCGCCCGCCCCCGCGCCCGCCCCTCCTCCGCCCCGCCCGGCCCCACCCTCCGGCGCCCGCCGCCTCCCCCCGCCCCCCACCCGGGCGCCCGGGGACCTCCCCGGTCGTAAGCCCAGCCCGGGGAGCGCTGGGGGGCTCCCCACGAGGGTCTCGCGGGCCGGCTGGGGGCCCCGGGCGTCCCCTGGCTTGCAGGGCTTCCGCCAAGCCCCCTTCCATCTCGCACATTCCAGCGCTCCCGGGGCCTGTCTTCTGCCCCCGACTTGGCCCCCTCTTCCTGGGGTCTCCTCTGAGCTTCCGGAGCCCCTCATACACGCTTGTCTCTAGAAAGCAGGCCGGGATCCCCGAGCCTCTGGTCACCTTAGCAGTGCCCCCCTAATGAGCCATGCCGCCCTCCGGACGCATCTGGGCAGGCAGGGCCTACTCATTGGTTGACCCGGCCCTTCTAGCGGCAGAGTGTCCCCGCCCCCACTCCTCGAGAGCCCCCCTCCCCCAGGCTCCCCTCCTTACCGGGCACTCGACCCTCCTCTCCCCGCCCCCCTGCCTGCCCCTGTGGCCTCCACACATCCTCAGAGGCCCACCGCGGCCCACCCCAGCTCCCAGCGCGCCATCTGCTCCGGGGCCTGCCCTTTCTTTTGTCTCCGCTGCAAGGTCGGGCTAGCGCTGGGTGAAAGCTTAGGGGCGCACTGCGCAGAACATCCCCCGGAAGCGGTCGAGGGCCACTGTACCCCACCTTGGGTTCACCTGGTCTCAAGCTTCCTCCCTAGCAAGTTCACCCCAAATACCCCAAATCTGGAGTGTGCATCTGACCCTGTAGGGGATGACAACATGACTGCTGGCAGGGACAGCTAAGGGGCCTAGGGGACTTTTCTCAGACTGTCATAAAGGACGTGCACATAAACCCATTCTCCTCCCCGTGCTGAGAGACACTGTTTCTCTCCCCCACCCATTTTCAATCCACTTTTCCAGAAATCCCTGTGCCAAAACGCTAAGAGCTCCTGGAGGCGGGTGGGAAGGCAGGGCGAGGAGGGGCGCAGTTTCTCTGAGATGAAGGCGACACCTAGTGGTTTCGGAGGGGAAATGAAGGACAATGCCTTTTTATTCTTAGGCACAGTGTTTGTTTATTGAAGCTGGCTGCTTGCCTTGCACGAGCTGGGGGGGCGGGGGGGATACGATGAAAGCCAAAGGGTCCAGTGCTGACCTTCGAGGGACATGCGTGTGGATTCCCTAGGGTGCAGAGGCCAAAAGAAACCCCCTGTGGCAATGTCTCTGGCCTCGAGCCCAGTGAAAAGGAAATCTTAGGACAGCTCCTTTGTAACACTGAGGAATGGGAAGTGGAGTTTCAGGCTCCCCACGCTGTTAGTGAGAAGGGATTTCGTCCCATCTGGGCTAGGAAAAGGGGTGATGGGACAACCTGGAAACTCTCCAACTTCAGACCAAACCAACCAAATCGTTGCGTTCCAAGCAACCAGACCCAGCTTTATGGGAGAAGCAAACACAAAATGGCAATCGCCGAAAGATGCACAGAACGCCAGGGCTACGGAACATCGCATGAACGTATTGTTCCGTCTCCTGGTGCAAAGATCATCGAAAACTGAGTCCCAGAGAGAAAGTCCCTCTCCTCCAGCCCCACACGGCTTTTCAGGAGCAGGGCACAGCCTGCATCTGGCATCCGGCTTCCAGTGCTCTCGGCTGGGGCTCTCGGCAGCCGTTCTGCTGACTCATAGAACTTGCAGTATGAAGTTACAGTGTAGTGGCCACCGGCAGCCCAGCCGGGTCCCTGATGCACCTGCAGATCCCGTGAGCACCAGCCACCACTGTTCGCCAGGTGAGCTCGTTTATAGTATGTCAGTCTCCACATGACAAACAGCTCTTCATTTTACTGAAGATCATTCAAGGATGTGGCTCCTCCACTCTTCCTTCTGACTAGCCACTTACACTACAGAGTAGGTAGAGATGGGAGATAAAAGTTCAACCAGCTTGGGGGCTGGCGCTGTGGTGTATTGGGTAAAGGCGCCACCTGCAGTGCTGGCATCCCATATGGGCGCCGGTTTGAGTCCCAGCTGCTCCTCTTCTGATCCAGCTCTCTGCTATGGCCTGGGAAAGCATTGGAAGGTGGTCCAAGTCCTTGGACCCCTGCACCCACACGGGAGACCAGAAGAAGCTCCTGACTCCTGACTTCAGATAGGCCCAGATCCAGCCGTTGCAGCCATCTGGAGAGTGAACCGGCGGATGGAAGACTTTCTCCTTCTCTCTCTCTCTGCCTCTGCCTCTCTGTAACTCTACCTTTCAAATAAATAAATAAATCTTTAAAATAAGAAAAAAAATTAGGCCGGCGCCGTGGCTCAATAGGCTAATCCTCCACCTTGCGGCGCCGGCACACCGGGTTCTAGTCCCGGTCGGGGTGCCGGATTCTGTCCCGGTTGCCCCTCTTCCAGGCCAGCTCTCTGCTATGGCCAGGGAGTGCAGTGGAGGATGGCCCAGGTGCTTGGGCCCTGCACCCCATGGGAGACCAGGAAAAGCACCTGGATCCTGGCTCCTGCCATCGGATCAGCGCGGTGCGCCGGCTGCAGCGGCGGCCATTGGAGGGTGAACCAACGGCAAAGGAAGACCTTTCTCTCTCTGTCTCTCTCTCACTGTCCACTCTGCCTGTCAAAAAAACAAACAAACAAAAAAAAAAAATAAGAAAAAAAATTTAAACCATCTAATAAAGGTTTTTAAAAAAATTAACATCCAGTGGAATATTTTTTTTTCATTTTTATTAGATAAATGAGAGCTTTGGATATCTATACATTTCCATTATCCAAGCTATCCCTGCTCTCACTGACATGAACAGTAAGATTCTGGCTGTATTTGGTGACCCCACCAGCAATCCACACAAAGCCTGGGAAATCCGCACACTCTGCTGGCCCGAGCAGCACCCCCCGAGAAGGGCCCAGCTTTCTCTCTGCAGAGCTGTTATGGCCTCCTACAACTGTCATTCCTTCTGGCCAGGTTTCTCTCAAATACTGATTAATGTTTTTGGATTTGTGTCTGGCCAGGAATTCAACTGCACAGCATCAGACTGGCTAATGCTACAAGTTGTGGGTGTTTCCAGATGCCCTGTTAGTGAAAAGAAATCCTTCCCGTGGTCCCGCTCAGGCCAAAGGCGCCTCAAGACCCTAGCAGACTCCTGGGAGCGCCACATGTGGTCATGTTAATCTCCACGGTATGCCCGGTTGCCCCAAACTGAACAGTTTCATAACTGACCTAATTTTGCAGCTAAATCTGGATCTCCAGTCTTGCCCTAGACCAGACCATGCTTCCCAGGCTTCCAGAATATTCCAGAGAAAGCAAGCATCTTCCAGGCTTCTCTCTGCTTGACCAGCCTGACCAGCAGACAAAGGTTACGGTTAAGGTGCGACTGTGCCCCCTGCACGGAAGCTGGACAGATCCAAGAGAACCTGCCAACAGAGGGCAGGGCACAGCCGAGGGACATCAGATCAAATGGGGCAGAAAAGATCATCGCAAGGCATGGACGTCAACAGGAAAAAGGAGGAGGTAGTGTAAAAAGAGAAGTGTAGTAAAGCAATAGAAGGCAAAGGAAGACTTTATTCAAATTCTTCCGTTTCTCTTCGGTCCCAGTGAGGGAGATACAGAACCCCGAAAACGCGTCCACTCATCACTGCTCTCAATGGCCCCCCTCCACACACACACATCACTCAGCACACAGGATGGCTCCAGACCCAGGCTCCACTTCACTTTCTCAATGTTCTCAGAGAGCGGCTAGGATTGCTTGAAGGGCCAAGGAGTTTTTACTTCTGATTCACACATCTCGTTCTCTGGCAAGTTAGAAAGGGTTTTACATTTAAGATAGTCAAGTCAGATTCCAGCTTCCAACTTACCTGTGTTCTGCAAGGTGAGCTGGGGCCCTGCTCTGTGGGCCAGAAATCTCGACTTAGTGAAAACACGGTCCAGACGAGTCGTTTTCCAACAGGAAATGCTTCACTGACGGCAATTCCTAAGAAAGGAATTTAAGAATTGTCAGCCGTGTGTGTATCTTCAAGTCCCTGGTGGACCATGTTTCTTTCTTTTTTTTTTTTTTTAAAGATTTATTTATGTATTTGAAAGTCAGAGTTACACAGAGAGAGAAGGAGAGGCAGAGAGAGAGAGAGAGAGGAGAGGCAGAGAGAGAGAGAGAGAGGAGAGGCAGAGAGAGAGAGAGGTCTTCCATCCACTGGTTCATTCTTCAACTGGACACAACCGCTGGAGCTCTGCTGATCCGAAGCCAGGAGCCAGGAGCTTCCTCTGGGTCTCCCATGAGAGTTCAGGAGCCCAAGGACTTGGGCCATCTTCCACTGCTTTCCCAGGCCATAGCAGAGAGCTGGATTGGAAGTGGAACAGCCGGGTCTTGAACTAGCACCCAAACGGGATGCCGGCACTGCAGCTGGCGGCTTTACTAGCTACGCCATAGCGCCGGCCCCTGGGCCATGTTTCTTCTGTGCACGCCATCCAGGCCTGGACCAGTGCCCCTGGCAGTATGCAGGAAGGTGGCAGCAGAGCATGCACTGCTTCCCTGCGTTCCTGTGATCACCCATCACCACTGCTGCCAACCCCAGGAACTACCTACCACCCCTTGGCAGCATAAAGTCTCAAATGTAATGCTCTCTATTACATTCTCCTCTCCATCGAATGTAAAATTCCACTTTCTTCACAAAATGTGCCAATGAGAAAAACGGCAAGAGGCTGAAGGGCAGGTGTTCCGTCATCTTGTCATTCCTGCTACATTTATAGACATCCCACATAAAAAGAAACAAAGTGGGGCTGGCGCTGTGGCATAGTGGGTAAAGCCGCCGCCTGCAGTGCCAGCATCCCATAAGGGCACCGGTTTGAGTCCTGGCTGCTCCACTTCCTATCCAGCCCTCTGCTATGGCCTGGGAAAGCAGTAGAAGATGGCCCAAGTGCTTGGGCCCCTGCACCCACATGGGAGACCCAGAAGAAGCCCCT